CTGTGATGAAGGTCGGCAGCGCTTCCCACGGCACATGCTCAAATAAAATGTGATAACATGTGTTTGAGCTCAAACAGGTACTGTGGGAAACAATACTGTTGCGGCCGGTGCCGCTACTGTTGTCTTTCTCTCAGCTCGCTTCTCGACGATTTATCGATCAGGCGAACTATCTCAGCCCGAAACAAACTATCAAACAAACTACCTGAAAAAGGACTGCGTGAACGTAAACCCACAGCTCTGGACTATTTCATCGTTGCGCGTCGGGAGAAATAATATTTCTCGATGGTAGTGGCTCCCATGAAGAGCTTGTTTCGAACCGCAGAGCGACTGTTGTACGTCAATCTATCCGAAAGAGAGCCCGATACCCTGCAGGTTCTCATGAATCGGCGAGAATCCTCGTCTTCAGCCACGGCGACATCGCGGGAGTAGAAACGGCAAGAACATCGGGCTCAGGAGAGGCGGCACGACCAAAGTTTCAGGCTTCATGGTCTGAGGCGCTCCACTCAGATCGATTGAACGTCTCGAAGACCGAGATAGAGCCGTTTCAGGTTTTCTTGCAGCGATTTGGAATCGTTGCTGCGGCAGTGGTGCTTAGGGCGGCAGCAGCGGGTGTCCTAAATGTTGTTATTCTCTGAAAGCCAATTTCCTAATTCAAGTCCGCCGCGACTCGAGGAGAACGAACTCGGGCTTGGGACGTGTCAGGAAGAAGGGACGAGAAAAGTTTTTCCTGGTTAAAGCCAGTGGTAGTAGTAGTGGCGGTGATGGTGGCGGCGGCGGCGGGATTAAACCGCGGGTTAATGAATTGATGGATTTTGATGGTCAGAAACGTCAAAGTGATTCTGATTAATGATCTGCCCAAGCACACATATCGGTTGGTCGATCCCTTCAATGGATCAGCGTAAACAAAGACGGCCCTGCTCTCGGTGGACCGCGCGGATTATTCATTCTCTCATTTTTCCGAACACTCGAAATTTCCCCGCAACTGGAATCGGCGGTCCCGGTTTCCTATGGATCGAGAGCTGCCGCTTCGAATGCCGTAATTATTGTCGTTCGGAGTGGAGTCGATTCAGTCGATGGCGATGTTCGAAACGGGATCGACACCAGATTGTGGTGCGGTGTGGTCTTTTTCTCGGGAAATCCTTCGAAAGTTCCTCCGTCTGAGGATGGACGCCAAAAAGGAGAAAAAGCAGCAACTTTATCGCTAACTTCGCCGCAAGCGACCTCGTTCCTTCTTGACAGAAAGTCCTGTGTGGCTGGCCGCGTTTTGGCAGCTCGCACAAGAGAACTCTGAGAGACGTGTACATGATTGATAAAGCACCGACCAACCAACCAACCGAGCGAGTGGGTAGCTTCCATTACGGAAAGAGTCCCCTTTTGTCCGCTCTTCGACGATGATGATGACGACGACAATAACAACGACAAGAACAACGACGACAAACGGGGTCCGCGTTGAGGAAACAAGAAATGCCGCCGCCGCCGCCGTCGTTGTTGGAGAGAAAACGGAATTGACTTACAAGAGGAAACACAACCACCTCGGCTAGCACCAGCCAACTCCATCTGCCACTCACAGATCCGCCCCTGCTGTGACATGGCAATGCACCAAGACACGCACTCACGCATCCACATTCGCTCAGTCAAACAGCCATACTGAGCGGGGTACGCAAGCGCTTAAATTGCGATTACTTGTGGGAGCACCCCGATACCACCAAAATTCCGCTGAGGAACTCCTCACATCGGACGATTACCTAATGATTATTTACCCGGAATTCAAGAAGTTCTAAGATTTCTGGTGGAAACCCACCCGCTGTTCCTGCGCGGCTTATTTCTGTCACAGGAGCTCGTTTCGCGGAGCGAGTGGAAATCGGCGCCAGAGCAATGTTTGTTGGTCGGAACGATGACTGACTGACTGAGTCGCTTCCCGTGCTGTCGGGGATAACGCACTCAATGTTTGCGGTACTTCGGCGGTCGGTAACAGGTCCCTTCTACCACTAGCACCAACGCAGCTGCTGACATTAGCCGTGACTCCAGTGGCTGCGCTCGTGGTGGGAGGGGCGGCAAGAGTGGGGGCGGCAGCTTGGTGTATAATTGATGAAACTCTTTTTGTCAGGAGCTTTTTCCATTCCCCAACGATCCATTCCACGCGTGCGCTTAGTTCGGGCTTTCCGACTACTTTACCCCTCTAGAGGCCGAAACCAACCAGGGCGGGCTGCCGAGCCGGAGAACGAGCGGACAAGCAACACTCATGAGCGCTTTGTACGAGACTGAGAGCAAGAATACGAGGAAATCGTTGTGGCGAGCAGAGTGTGATATCCGGGTCCGTTCCCGCAGGGTAGGGCAAGCATCTTCAAGCGCTAACCGACGTAGTTCAGTTATCCCGAAAAACAGTCTTGTTCGTTTTCCCGTCGAATCGATGGTGTCCCAGAGGGAGAGGTATCGATCGAAAACGGATAAAGAGACATATTATGGTATCATATTATGTCGATCGAGTATCTTGCGACATCTGGAGCTCGCCGATTGGCGACTGACCTTTTACCTCCCGACTTGAGACCACAAGCTCACCCCAATAAACAACTTCTTCTCCGCTGAAAGGTTAACCTGATTACGCATGGGGAACGCAGCGGTGGTATCCACGACGGCGGTGGAATCAAATTCGAGGCTTCGAACCCTCTCGGAGGCAGAGTCTGAATCGAGATAGACCGCGTCGGGAGACGGTCTTGAGTCGCTGTCTCGCGGGCTGGTGTATACTGCTATCTCTTTGCCGAGTCACCTAATCAATTTGGTTAGACGTTCCGCAGAGCGAGCCGGCGAATATTCTTTGTGCTCGACGAAACTTCGCGGCTTATCTGAGGAGCAACTTCGAACTCTGTCTTTCGAAGTCGGCTCTCAGATAAATGTTTCACCGAGAGTCTCCGTTTTCTTTTTCTCCTGTCTGAAGCGTTACTTCCAGCTGATTATCATAAGGGATCGCTGGTCCCTGAAGGGTTGCTCGCGGAAGTGTACTCGGTAGTTGGGTACGGTGAATTTCGCCGAGTTGCCCTCAGCTTTGCTCATGCGACGCTCGGTAGCCGTCTGAGGGCTCGGACTCTTCGAACGACTGCGACAAGTCACCGAGTTTCGATCAGTCGATCGAACGCTTCAGGTGTCCTCGAATCGGCATGAGATCCCTTTAGTCTGCGAAGACCAACGAGTCTAGTCAGACAGATCAACGGAACTTGTCGAGTTTGAGGGAGCGTCGAATCTCCAGATTTCCAGCGCTTTGTTTCTGAATTATTCCAGTTTCCACGGATTCATCTGCACTTACTCGCGAACGTTCATCCGCGAGGTTTTCACGAAACTGTCGGCTGAGATTTATTCGAGTCTTTCATGGAGTCATTCTTCCTCTGTGGATATTCAGACTTGCAGGATATGCAAACTTATCAGTCATCTCATTCGCCATCTGCCGTCTGAGCACACTCTTGCGTCCGCCTGAACGGTGATATCTCAAAGTTGGTATATCCACCTACTTGGTTATGATGACGGCTGCATCTCGGTGGAAGAGAACGGGCGGATTTTTTGCTAGCTCGTAGCATAGCCGAAGCGGCACGTCAACGTGGGTCGCTGCTGCTTTCTTGGGTAGAATGGTTCCTTCATGCAGATGAGCCCGAGAGCGCATCTCCATATCCAGCCCGTTCGTTCCACTTCTCGTCGTATAAGCGCCTACACGAGGATGAGAACCAAGCTCGCAGCCGCCTAACCTTATCCTGAAGCTAAGTAGATATTTATGCGTGCCAGAGAGAAAACAACATAGCTCTGAAAGCCTCCGGAGTGCGGGAGCCTTCGACAGCTCCGTCGAGCAGATAGACCGACGCGGGGAGACAGTCTCCGAGTCCTCAGCTGTCTCCTTTCAATATCAACTCTATGATTATCTTTATCTTATGACACGGATGAATGAAAATCTGTCGAGGTCCGAAGGAATCCGTTGTCGGCTGCAAGATCGAAGGGACAGAGCAATCAATGCTGAAGACAGAACTTCCTTCAGTCTCGAAAATTACGCATAAAGCTCACGCAATCCGTATGCGGTTCGACATTCCTGCATTCCGGATTCCGGTATTACGGTCTGAATTCCGGATGATTTTACTGGGAGCTCCTTCCATTATTTCGACTCCGAATTATCGCAACGTTTCAAAATAGAGGAATTTCCATTGCCTCGGCGATTCTTCCAAGATCTCTGTTTCTCTAATGGAGATTATGTGGAGAGCGGGATGTCCGGACCGATGGGAAATGACTGAGTTCGTGATTGGTCAAGCGTTCCGATTCTCGATGGATGACTTCGGCGGCCATCGATCCGCTTTGAGCTTAATCGATTCAACAAGTCCACCTCCGCATCGAGAGACCGCCTCCAAAAGCTCCGCCTCGCTTTCTTGCTAGTAGAAGCAAAAAAAGGCTCAACAACTTTTTGTACGCCTGCCCAAGGACTCCACCACAGGCCGACCACGGCGACGACTCAGAGAGCCCCGTACACCCTTCAAGCCAGGAGGCAAGCAGGAGAACAAGCTGACTGGCAAGCCTTCTGCTCCTGGAGCGTCTGCTCCTGAGCGGAGGTGGTGCCCCCTGGCTCGACGGCCCCTCCTACAGGATGACGAGGGTTGTGCCCTCCCTTACCTCCTTCCTTCCACCCATGCTTCCTTCCTTTCTCCTGTCCCTTTCTTGCTTGCTTCCATTGCACGAGAGAGGAAGAGAATGATCAACACTTGCCGGCTGCCAGGCCACTCACAACAGCAAAACAGTCAAGACCATCGGTGCATCCGCCCGCGCCTCCCGCGCCGGGAGTTCCGTGCAATAGCAGTGCCTCTCAGAAGCTGATGTAACGGTGTTCTGTGCAATTGTCATCAGCTGTTGGTGAAGATCCGAAATGTTAATCTCGTGATCCGTTACGTGAGGAGCCTCCATTTGAAGGGGATTTTTTTTGATCGACGAGAAATCGCTGGAGAATTCCGCGAGCGCTCACGGTGCAGGAGAAAATGCATGTCAACAATTGTGCGTTCCCTGACCTCGCCTCCGTGGCTCAAAAATACGCCGCCTACCTAGGGAATGTGACACCTGCAAAAGTCGAGAGGGATTTCGAGCGAGTCAACGCCAATGTACTCGCTGAGCAGGTAAAGCACATCACGAACTGCATGAGGGATGTCATCGAGCTCCAATAGAAATTTTCCTAGTCCTCATTGGGGCGCGACTTAAAATCCTCCCCCAAGTCGCTCAAGGAAGATCAAGTTCGACTGACTGTCTACTTTCCTCGAGCCCGCGCAGCGGTTTCGTGTGATCCTCCCCGATGGCGAGACTGGAGTTTGGGACATCTCCTGGTCCAGCGTTGGACTAATGAGGACCCCAGACCGTCAACTCGGGAAGTCACGAGCTCTGGTCACGGTGGTCTCGCATAAGACTCATGTTCCCCGCACAACGGAGATTCTCAACAAGTTTGAATTTCTCAACTCGGTCGGCCGCAGCGCCATCGCCGGAGGGTCGCGTAACTCACTCAACATTCGCTTCGGATCGAAACCTCCAGGGGGCGCCACGGGTCCCCGGGCATAAATCTAAGATGGTGCCTCGAGTCATAAACGAGGTTTTATAAGACGATACGATGTGCAGGCGTGAGAGCTTCGCCGCGCGCGAGAATGAAGTCGATAAATTCTTCTGAAGGCGATAGAGTTTGCTCGCTCGTCTGAAGTTTGCGAGCGGAAGACCGACCGGCCGGGGAAATTGGCTACGGTCTAGCATCGAAGACCCGGAGCCAAAGCCATGGTTTAATATCATCGCTTAGTTAGGGAATGTTGTCACCGACTTTATTAGATGAGGATTTCTGCAGAATTTAAGACCGTCTCTTCGAATGTGGGTTAGACATCCCGGAGAAGTTTCGACTAAGCCTGAAATGTAGCTTTTTCTCTCGCTGGATAATTTATCCCATCAACTTTTTCGTAGGAAAGTTTGTGGTCTCTCACGATTCTGACAGACGCAACACTTCTGACGAAATAGACCGGGGAAGAGAACGAAAACGAAGAGAGAGGTGCTCAATCGGAAGAACGTGATCGAGCCTCAATTCAGTCTGACACTCGATCTGCAACACAAGGGACCTCCATGTTATCCCACACAATGATCATATACCGAAGGCCCATGGTGGGAAGGCCGGAGACTTGCGTGACTGGATTTGTAGGTCGGCTCGTAAATGAATGAAAAGTTGCATTCCTTCCGGCTAGGAGGAAGCGTATTCTTACTTATTCTGCTCTAAAAAATCCCTTCTCGATATGGATCAAAAGAAACGGAACTCGAATATTCCCATTGGAGTGTTCCGACTTTACAGTTAGTTCGTATACCGAGTCGCGGTGCTACAGCTGCTCTATGAACGCTTTAAGGACTCCATTACCGCGCTGAGGGTCACTTCGAAATGACTCCAAGGAATATCTCAGCGCGTTTTGGTATTTCAAACGCTCATAATTTCATTCTCGTACCTTAAGGGGTATCATGTCCTTCGTTCGAAAGCGCCCTCCTCGGGGTGGGAGTCAATCATATGAAGCGATCCCGTTGGAGAGCTCTCTCCTAATCAAGAGAGGGCGCCACCGGTAACAGTGAATGATTCGCTAGCAGCATCAAGTCAAACAGGTCCTCCAATGTTGCTCTGCCAGAAAAGCCTGATATGCAGAGCTCTATTCAAGAGAAATACTAACGTAGGCTCCTATGATGGCAGACGCTCTGTCGAGTGTTCAATCCATAATTTCCCCGATTCAAAAATAAATCTGTTTTCGAGATACTAAATGTATTCGATCCGGTACATGAATAATGTACCGTTTCGAATACACAAATGCATAAATGCATGATGCCCGAATAACGGAGTAATAAGTAATAATGGAGCTCCATCATCATTTCGGTGTATGGGTTATAGTTTTTCTTCCTGATCCTCAATCGAAACTCCCAATGAGCTAGTCCAAGATCGGAGACTCCTCAGATTCCAAGATTGACTCTGAGCTTCAGAGAAAGCTGTGCTCACGTGGATTCGATCAATATTCCAGGTACGCGCGTTGTGTGACATGTCCATGGAGCAACAGGTGCGGGAGTACCTAAACCATTGCAGTCAAGTACAGGTGCCCCTGGTGCCGCCGCTGGTGCCTCAGCTGGTACCCGCGTTGCCACCGGTACCGAATCTGCCTCTAACGCAGCCTCCTCAGGCTTCGCCTTCTCCACACCAAGGCGAAGTGTCACCGAGTTTAGCTCCTCCAAACATTGTCCCGCACCCGCACCAGGGGCAGTCAGTCGCGGCCTCTCCCGGCCAACAGAACAGGCACACTCCTCCCGCAGGAAGCCATCACCAACAACAACAACAGCAGCAGCAGCAACAACAACAGCAACAACAACAGCAGCAACAACAACAACAAGCAGTCAATAGCGGATTCGGTGTAGAGCGACAGGGTGGCGGCACGTCGTCGGCCGGAACTCCTTCTTCTCAAGGGGGCCCGAGCCGACAGAGTCCCCATACCTCATCGCAGGGCGGTCCACCTCAGGCGTTGAGTCAACAGAACCCAAGCAGAGTTCTATCGAGGAACGCCAACGGAACAAGTGAGTGTCTACAATTCGCATGATCAGTTTTCAGCGAAAATCTCCGTCGTCGCCTTCAGGAGCGACAACGAAGCAGGGCCATACAGATGGGGGAGAGCAGGACACGGGTTCAATGATTGTAAATCAAGAGCATCGTTCCCACCTCAGTCAGAGGAAAATTCGATCCGAAGAATTAGCTTCTCTGAAGCTGCATCCTAGGACCGGTCCTCTTGGAGGTTCTTCCAGAGAGACGAGGAAACGTGAGAGAGAGTCCATGTAGACACGTCGCGTCGGGGCGCCTCTGAAAATGAAGCTCGGCGCGGAAGGAAAAGCGAATAGCATGATGCCCTGCTCTTTGTCCACTCCCAGTCAGTCACTTAGTCATTCATTCTCTCTGTTCATACATCAGAATTGGGGTCGGCAACGAGTGCCTTCCTCTTAACGAATCTCTGCAATCAAGTAATTGTATTTTTCCATCGTTCCTCCCTATCGTTCTCGCTCTTTCCTTCCCCTGCATCGCGGATTCACCCCGGGCTCGAATTTGTTTTTTAGTCGCGGTGTTTGCGGTCTCCCAAGCGTCGCTCGCTCTCAATCTCACGTCAATGGAGCCCATCCGAAACCGCGAATCTGATTTCGCTGGAGAAACTTCGATTGACGGAGTTTAGCCGAGAAGTTTCCAGACGCTGCCAGATGGCCGATAGAAGAGAGCGGGGGAATTCTTGGTCCGATGTCGCACAGAGACGGTCGAACCCTGTGATCTTCGCGCAAGCGGTGTCGTTGTTTGGATAATGATCTCTGGGCTCAGATGTCAGAGTGATGCATGTGGATGCAAACTGCTCTAAGCCCCAAGGCAAATGCATCCATATCACAGGTGGAGAAATAAGGCAGGCAGGCGAGCGGGCAGACATGCACATTGTAGTAATTGCATTTATGAGACCACTTCCCATCTCTGAGCGCGCTGCCTCCGAGGTCAGCGCGACCAAGCGTCCGGCCAGCCATCACGTTCGTCCATTGCAAATTGGCAGCAGCCCCTCGCGTGCTCGCTCCCCTCGAAGTGCTGCTCCCCAACAACGACTTGTCATCGCTTTAGTTTTTTGTGCTCAGTCCACTGGCGACGGTGGTAACCCAAAAAGATTTATTCTTCCTCCAATGAGCTCCTAAAACAAACAGCTTCTCGGCCTGGTGCTCGTTTTCCGCACCAAGTCCCGGAGCTCCTCTGTCTCGTCGAGGAAGCGCTTCACGGCGAGGGCTTTCGCTGCACCCTCTTTCTCCAGGGCGCGAAGCGCGCTGACCAGCCAATTTCGATGAGAGGCTAAATCCCGAGGTTTCTCTGTAAAAAAAATCGACCTGGTCGCGCGTCACGTGGGTCGAGGGGCGCTCCGCAAAACTATGGTAAATTGACGGTGCCCCCATTTTCCCGATTCTGGACGAAGAGGTTCACGATCGCGCTCAGCGAGCAAGTGAACGAGCCAGAGCCCAAACGAGCGAACTGCACGAGAAAGCGGTGGCTGGCGGGTTTGCTGCAGTTTTTTATGCGCATTCCTCGATCTTCTGCAGCTAGAGCGAGCGAGTGGACGGGCAACTTTCAGCCGACCGAACGGACTAAGAGTCCTTGCCTAGGTGGATAGATAGATCGAAGCTGAAAATGAATATTGACATTTTTGTTCCTCTCACTCTACGAGCGAGCAGCGCCGGTGGCATAGGCAGCGGGCTTTTGCTTGCCGGAAGATGCCGGTGGGTAGAGCAACAGAACCCGATTTAAAAAATAGCCCGATCATCGTTCGCTCAGAACCTACTCTCTTGCTCGGTACGCAGTCCGCTCGCTCCTCGAAGTGCAGGGTGCTCGGAAAATGTGAAACGGGCATCTCCCAAAGTGACAAGTCTCACGAGATTCCAGAATCTGAGGATATCAAGGGTGCTACCGAAAAGCGGTGAGGGGATCAGCCATGGGCGTGGGTCGATCAGAGAGTTTGAGCGTGCGCTCATGCCGCTGAAGGCACCCTCAAATGAAGGCTGAGGAGCTCCGACACAGGGAGCAGGCGGAGGAATTTCCGAAAATTATGTAGAATAAGCTGCGAATCAAAAGTCTGACGGGAGCACGGGTCGTCTAGGTCTGTGACGTCCGTAAGTTTCGAGCCTCGATCTCGCAAAGTTCGTCCTCCACTCCTCGAAGCTTCGCCGCGTCAATAAGACAGGAATTTCTGAACACCCCGTGCCCCGTGGCAATCGATATATTTTGCTCTCGGATCCGCCCTTGGGCTCTCTTTCTATTTGCTCAACGGCCGCATGATCATTTCTCTGCTACGCAAAGTTTTCGAAGGTAGCGATTCATACTCGATGGACTGTACATATATCTGCACAAGGATTGGTGTCGAGTAAGTCTCAGGACTGAACGGACAGGGATCGATTCCCATCCTAAGGGTCTCGACTCCCATCTCACACCTGCGAGATGGACTTCAACGGGTCACTCGGCAGAAGCTCGGGCAGATGGCCGTATGGGGGCGCGAGCTCGCTTGGCCTGCAATGATACGGGGATGAATATTTTTTTAAGGGAATTAATGTTATTCGAGACTTGAGGAAAGCGAGCGAGCGGGCATCCCACCACCACAGATAAGCTCTTCACAAGAAGGCATTTTAAACGGAGCAAAAAACAGCAGCATCACGAAGACATTCAGCCCAAGAGCCTTCTTTCTTTAAGTGGGGGAAGGCATCAAAAGATCTTCTCCTTCGCTGCGGTGGCTGCCGCTCAGATGACCGGCCGACCACGCAGGCTGTCTGCCAGCAGGCAAGCCTCTATCCACCCGGCTAATCATCTGTTGCCTTTATCCCAATAAAACAAAAATCGCCCCTCCGTATAAGCTCCAAGCAGATGCCTGAGAGCACTGAAACTCCTTCGGTTTCGGTTTTTGGAAACTTAAAATCTCAACTCACCGTGTTCCTCTGAATTGACGCCAAGACAGGGAGAGTGGATCTGTTGCAATTTTGGCGTGACAGTGAGTTCTCGGACATCGGTTCATACTCACAAGGATGTCGCGATGATCCCGAAAATAAGGTTTGATGAGGTCATTGGCGTATCCTTAATAGATGACGAGGCAAAAATTCGAATGCCGATCGGCTGCGTCGTTTCGGATGTCTCGGCGAGCAGCACCTTGCAAGACGCTGCTGGCGCAGTCAGTCGGATCAAGGAGGCCGCGGACTCACTCTTTTTTTACATCAACTGGTTCAAATTGGCCTCTCGTTTTGCGCGGACGGCACCTGCCCGCTCGAGTTTTTATCGTCAACCCTTATAAATGTATATCGTGTGGATGCTCCCCGAAGATTCTAGCTGCAGCCATCGGTGGTCTGTGCCGACGTTGCGCTCGAACCCTTGCGATCACTTTCTCGTCTCTCTTCATATCGCGAAATGTCACTCTCGAGTCACCGCAGCGGCAGAAGCAGATAGCTGCTCTTGACAGGGTGTCCAAGCCCGGCCGTTTTGAATCATAAAAACGATAAAGTTAACCAGCGAGCTCGAGAAAAACCTTTTTGCATCTTCGAAAACTCCATCCTCCTATCACTGAGGAGGTTGTTCCCTGAGGCCTTGGTCAAACGGAAGGCGCGCTCGCCCGCATGCTTACTTGCTTGCCTGTGAGGAGAGGATCCATGGAAATGAAGTGAACGGAGAGAAGAGGAAAAAAAACGGCAACTCGCCTTTTGTCCAGTCGGGTGGCCAGCCCGCAGACCAGCCCTGTTGCTCCGGAAGTCCTGTCTGAGAACCCTGTCAGTACCTTCGAATCTCTACAATGATTGCGCCAAGCCATTTTGAGCACTTTAGTTTTTTTGTCCTCCTTCACTCGTCCTGCCGGTCGTGTCCCTCCTCTGGATCTCACGGGGGAGTCCATCGCTCGGTCGGTCAGACTTGTGCTCGTTGGATGGCAGGCCGGCTCTGATTAATTCTGCAGAGAACCCATCCTGATGACCAGTGAGATGACTCCTGCGTGGCTGCTCAATACAGCGATGTAGTACTACATACTATTTGCCTTATGGCATCTGGCCATAAAAATTGTCACCTTATGGTAATACGCACTCTTCGTCCGTTCCCTGCTCGTAAATTAAAATCTTCACACAATCGTCCGCGCGATCGGCCTAATCAGCTCGTCGACTTGAACTTCTTCCACCGCACCCCGCTGTCTCTAATCTCGGCCAGTCTGACGGTTATCGTTGTCTTGACACTGATTTTAATCCCATCTGAGATGAATATCGCTACGTTCGCTTCTTTTTTCTTCATCACCGGTACCGGACTTCTTGCTCTCCCGTTCAGACTTGTGTCTTGTTTCGGACGATGATGATTCTATCTTGGCCGTACTTCCTTTCTGTCATGGCGAAATCACGCAATACCAAGAATCGAGGCGGAGTTACAAATCGGTGCAATGACACGCTTGATTCGAACAGCTTGTCGAAATCGACGTTCAGCTCGAGAAAAAATGTTGTTCGTTTAACTCCTGCTCGCTCACTCGACCCTGGGCATGTCAGTCGAGGTTAAGCTATGGCAGCGATTCTCCGAAGTGATCTATCTTCAGCTGAGAATCGGTTCCATCACAACACTGTGTTGAGCACATGTAGCCATTCGTCTTCTGGTCGTCGTGAACTCGTCAACCTGTTGTTTGTTCAAACCTAAGCCCCAATTTTTGCGAGTCGAAAACTGAGCTTCGCGAATCGAGAATCGCTCGACCGTAGCCTCGAATCAGAGCGTTAGATTCTTCGGTGACTTTCCAAAATCGTCCGGTTCACTAACAGGTTCTTGATGCTTCTTTGATTGTTGTTACAGCGTAGGAATAGTTTCTTGGGGCCAAAAGTGCCGATGCGGCACATCGTGTCGTTAACCAGAAGAGGAACGCGTTGAGCGCGACGTGACTAAAAGAGATTTGGTTTAATTTTTTGCTTCAAACCCTCGATCATCGCACTTGGCCACGCGGATTTCTCCCAAAGTGTCGGCTCAGGGGAACATGAACATGCTCACGCTTCCTGTGAATCGAAATCGTTCTGAAAAATGTTTTTGACCATGGTTCCGAGGGAAACAAGAGAGAGATGACATCATACTCCCTCAGTAATCAGCAGCCATCAATGAACTCATCGCGGGAACTTCATCGAACGCTCGAAGGCGATCGTGTGTCCCGGGCGAATGAGGAATGAGTTTCTAAAGTGCGCTTAACTTTCATATACTGCATCTTGAAGAGCGCAACATGGGCCCCCGACTAAGCAAAAAAAATCCACCTCGAAGACGTGCTGGATAAAAACGCGCACGGACTCGAATCGAGAAACTTGTTTAGACCAAGACACAGGCCCCTCTACGCTCACCAGTTGAGATGGCGAGCCTTGAGGGGGAGACCGAGATAGGGTGTAGATGAGGGTGGCTGAAACTGAGAGACCATTATTCGGACCGCGTGGAGGAATCATATGGGTACCCTCGTGCTCCCTCTTTGAGTTCTGGATCCGAATGATGAGGACTGAAGCCATTGGAAACACGGAGAAACTATCGCGAATTTTTTCTCAACTCCTTATTTATCCTGAATTGGCGAGTTCGGGTCTCGACCTTATAGAAATCCGGACAATCCGTGCAATCGGCTGACAATGAGAGGGACGAGTGAGTTCTTCCGATGGTTGGCCATGGGCCTAAGGGGAGTCACTCGGAGGATCGCGGGGATAATTCTTGTTCGGTCGAGTCGAGTTCAGAAATCAAAGCAACCTTCTAGTCGTCAGGAGAAGACTCGACGAGCCGAACGAGTTGATAGGGGGCCGAGAGACACGTAGTCCAAGTCGTCAGCTGTTTCTTAGCTGGTCTGATCTCGAATGCTTCACTTGATCCAAACTTAATCTTATCTAACTTAGTCGGCGAGCCGTCGTATAAAAAACTCGCACCGCGCTTAATCTCCTCTGTCCGTCTCCGCCGAGGATCCAAGGCGAACCCTTCAAAAGAGGTTTTCTAACGGCTCGCTCGCTCAGTCGGCACAGTCCGCAGCGGCCGCTCCACCCGGCCGCAACATCAGCTCACTTCGACTTACAAAACTCATTAATGGCCGATAATGGCCTCTTAAAAAGCGGCCAGATGGACCTCATCGAATTGGCTGTGTGTGTGCGTGTGTATGTCCGAGTTGGACATCTATCTTGTTGTGGGTGTAGCATGAACGAGTGAATCGGAAGAGCCAGCAGAGGAAAAAAATTAAATTCCTCTGAATTACCACTGGACTCGGTCTCCTACTCCCCCACCCCACTTTCATTGTCGCAGAGCCACAACTCTGCCGCCACCCACGACCGTTGCACAAACGCGATACTCGGCTATTTGAGCGGTGTTCGAGTTGAAATAGAAGAATCGAAAACGCATGGAGATTAAAGCTCGGAAATCCAGCCGAATATTCGTGTTTTCTCGTTGGTCAGGGCCAAGACTTTTTTATTCGCAGCGCTGATTGTCGGCCATATGCATGGTCGCCGCTCGTCGCTCGTTGCGATGAAGATTGTTGCGATCACGATGCGGGCCAAGACGACGAAGCTTAAACATCATTCGTCATCGAGCAAGAACTCGTCGTCTCCGTCATAAATCAAGTTCACTAATAAAGTTTCAAAGTCGCGCGGCTGGTCGACCATCATTGAAAAAAAAAGAGATCGGAGATCGACAAAAAGAAACGTCTTCGAGGCTCCTCGCATTTCGAAGCGTCTGATCAATGAACAACTAGCCGAACAAGCAAGAAAGCGGGCAAGGGACGGGCGAGCAGGCAAGAAAGGCGTTGAGGCGGGCTAGCCCGAAAGCAACAGATTGTTTTAATTGTTGCCGCCGTACGAACGAGGCACCTGGGTTCTAGTCGGCAGCCCGTAAGTCTGTGACGAAAGATGACTCTGACTCTGGCTGTGGTGTGTGCGAAATTCCAAGCGGGCGTAGTTTCTCTCGCGCAGCTAATTCTAAATCGAGTTTGTGTTCTCATCCTCATTGCTCTCGTCCCCTTCATCATGATACTTCGCGCCCTTGGGATCGTTCCCGAAAATCTTCCTAAAAAGTTTTGAGGCAGCGTATGGATCCTGCACACATATATGACGGACTTGTTTAATCTTGTGAGAAAATCGTTCGCCTGTCTTGACAAATTGGAGAACTTGGAGGGAATCCCGATAGCCCGAGTGTTCTCTCGAAAGAAACTCCTCGGTACAGTCTGTGTACCTTGATACCTCGATCACGATGTTGTTACGGAGCCACGGTACTATCACGACCATTGAAAGGAGAAATTCAGAAATCTTATCCCGCGATGTGGACGAATCCACATCCAATGTCAGGGCTCGAGTCAAGACTCCGTTGGGCGCTTATTGATGGCAGTTTATGAAATGTTGAAGAGTGTCCAGAGCGATTGATGATTTTTCCGGGTTCTTTGTTCCTCAATTGTCATTTGGCGTTCATAAATCTCCAAGCATCGGACGGACTCATCGCGAGGAGGCCGCGATGTTGCAACCCTTTGAAATCTCTTCTTGTGTACTGTCGATGCGGGGATTCTTTTGTATGAGGTCGACTTCATTCCATCCGCTCGCTCGGTCGGTTGCAACAAACATGCCTTTCGTATTCGCGAGTAAATAATAAACAATGTGTTAATGAACTTTTTTTTCCGGATTCTCCTCGAAAGACTCCCAAGCGTGCTCACTACTGATAGGCAGGTAGTCAACGATGAGCAGATGGACGAGACGAGGACAGCCTCCATGATGGATCCATAAGACGATTATGATATCGTGGTCCTCCGCGCTCTATGCGGAAACCCAAATATTATTCGAGCGGCGCATCTTTGGAGAATTCTCCCTTCCGCCGAAGGATCTCCAGCCGTGGATCCCGCTCGGTTTTATGAGGAGGTACGCTGGGTGTTTTTCCGTGCATTCCCTCTCCCCGTCCCTCACCCGATTCCTTGCCGTGCGGGAAGCGTGGCGAGACGCTGCTCTTCGGGATTCCGGGCAGCCCGGCTGGCAAGCGGGCGGGCGGGCAAGCGGTCGGACCGGCAAACCGACGGACGGGCGGGCGGGCATGCACAAGGCAAAAAGCATCGCGTACTCGAACACCCTTCTCCTTTCGGAGTTTTTGAGAGAGGAGCCTCGCTGCTCGGCGAGCAAACCAGGCTGGCGGGCAGGCAGGCTGACTGGCAGCGAAAGAGTTGCCGCTGTTTCAAGCGCTGGCTCCGAGCTTCGCTCACAACACTCCGAGCCACCAGTCGGTGAGGAGAACACACGGTGCGCACTCTCTTCACTGACCATTGCCATGTGGTTGTCGGAGTTGTCGTGCTGAACTGTCATGTTGGGACTTTGTTGCTGAAGTGACTGCTACGTGGAACGTCGATTCGTCAAAACTCGACAAAACCGGCTTGCACATCCTCGAAGTTCCGGGACGCTTCCTCTGCGGAGAACTCCCGCGGGAGATCCTTTGGGGAAAGTCCTGCGGGGCGATCTCGAGTTTTGCGGAGGGTCCTCCGCGAATGTTCTTCCCTCATCGAGTTGTTACGGATTGGAGCTTTCGGATGGATTCAGTGGTCGGTCGATCGTAGTGGTCGGTCGATCGTAGTGGTCGGTCGATAGTAGTGGTCAGCTGACTGCCGCCGGAAACTCGACCGGACTGTTGGTGAACGTCGCCAACATCGTGCAGAATAAATGTGATGATGAAGTTGAGGACAGTAGCTCCTCTGGCTCTGGTGCCTTCGATGACTGTCACCTCAGCAGCATCGGGATCTGCGCTGTCTCTAGTATGCAAGAAAGAACGGTCGGCCGATAGAGCTGTCGTGAACGGTTTCGGGAACAGTGATACAAGTCGTTGCGCTTCTCCAACTACGCCGACGCATAAATCTCGAAATTTCGCTTCGAAAGAGTTGGTTGTCGAGAGTTCAACTGGGTGTGCTTCTCCAGCGCCGTCTTCCCCTTCTCCAGGTATGAATGTGTGAGACGAGGAAACGCAAAACCGTTTCGCACATCGGCGAACTCGCAAGCGAGTTGCGAGGAATCAGAGACTTTGGATCGCTCCGTTTTCACCCTCCCGACCGGCCCGAATTACGTGATTGGCTGGTATGACGCACGTGTCGTCTACTGGAACACGTGTTGGGAAACCGCGTGCAGTAGAGCAGACTAGAGACCGTGCTTCCTTTGCACAAACAAAAATAGACCGCGACGTTGGATTTAGCGTGGGCAGAGCTGCAAGCATCAATCGGTCCCTTTATAGCTTCGGGACGTTTCGTAATTCGATGAAGTACATCGATGAGGTGAAGAGCTATCAGATGAAAGCAGACGCATCCTGTCAACTTTGAGCAGATACGAGATCCATCCCGAACGGGGGAGCTGCTTCAAGTCGAAAACAAACCATCCAGAGGGTGGTGATGTTGGAACCTGATTCCGGATCGGTCTAAATCTGATCGACTTATTTTAAAATCGAATTTTCCTCGTTCCAGTCGCGATGACGTCTCAGCCATCGAATGAATCCGAGCTGCAGCTGTACAGGGTTCTTCAACGGGCAAATCTTCTTGCGTACTTTGACACCTTCATATGCCAAGGTAAGTCAACCCGAAATTCTTATAAGTCTGGAGAGTCCAGCTGACTGGACTCGTCATCGACGCCACGAGGGTTTCTGATCCGGGAAAATCCTTCTGCCACTACGAGACGCCTCTCAGTGCGACATGCAAAGCAACCGATGAAAATTGAGAGGGCCACCCACTTTATGACCCTTGTGTGAACTTTCGTGCTTGAGCTTCTGCATTGTATCGGTGGACATCGAACGCCTATTGAATTTCGCTAATCTAGTGCAAACGATTTTATGACTCTGGGGTCGTAAAAAGGTTACGACAAGTGAAACCCTGCTCTTTCTTGGATTCCATAGAATTCCTCGCCCATGGCTGTTTTTTGCTTCGGGGATTCAATTATGCGGAGTATTCCCTCTGATAATTCGCTCAAGATAAATCCGACGTATCGATTCATGGGTTTTGACGCTTATCGTAGGCTTTAACGGCACTGGGAGCTTCATGAAGATCCCTCGCGACTCGAGCCCCTCGATTCTCGGAATCGTCATTCAATCGAACTCTCTGTCTATTAGGACTCGCCTGACGAGTGGAGTGAGCTAGTCAGTCAGTCAGTCACTCACTCAAGTGGCCGGTTCATCTGCTGAGGTTGGTTTCGGATCGTGTGCGGGTCGGATGTCATTCTCGTCGGAGGTCGTTTTTGCTCAGGTGCTGCTTGCCCTCCTAACCGATGGAGCAGGCGAGGTCGGATCGATCGACGACTCGCTCGATGGATGAATCGCTTCTTGGAAGCGATTAGTTTGTGGCCGTTTGCCCTGTGATCGATTTACTGCTCAGAGAGACACAACATGTCGGCTATCAATCAGGTCGTTCCGACCGCAGAACGTGGCTTCGCAACATCATGAGATCAGGAGTCGCGAACCATGAGCGCAAGAAATTCACTCATAATTTCTCTCCTCTTTTCCTGGTAATTATTCGATTTTTTCTTGCATTCGAAATGGAACTCAGTGATCTTTCCCTCCGATGTTATTGTCCCTATACGGTGGGATTGATTCGTACTGAAAGTCCTGCTGCGGCATAAGCTATTGGACCAGGTAGACTAAGTTGTTCTGTTGGGACCCTCGAAAGATTGATTGACCTTTTCTGGCTTTCCTCGGTAGAGTTATCGTTGTCATTGGCCGGAGAGTAAGTCAAGTTATGGCGTGACTGAGAGCCGCATTTGCATTCGACCCCATAGCGGGGTGACTTCGGCTACCTGCTATTTCCTGTCTGACGAGCAAAAATGTCGCTCATGGGTCGTGAACTACAAACTCTCTCGCCCGATGCGCCGACTCGCACAGGTGGATCCGCAGCGGAAATAGTTTGTGTGTCAAAAAAACTACAAAATAGGTCACGAAGTTAGCCTTGAAACTCGTCCCGGGGTCTGGCGATTTAAATTTCTCCTGACGAGCCCTGTCCTGAACCCCCGTGAACTCTCTGGGAGGCGGATGCCTCGTGCGACACTGTCACGGCCCGGGCTGTCCTGTCAATATTTGCAGCCTTGCGGGTTGAGTCCGTTTTGAATCGGAAAACCGCGAGAGGAAAAATATCACGAGTCGCTCAACCGATTTTCGAGAGGCTTTCGAGAAGCCCCCGAGCTCAACGGAGTTTTAGGAACTCCAACGGAGTATGTGAGCCTCGCCAGTCAGTCAGTAGATGTTGCACACAGTCGACGGGATCACCCACTCGAAGGAATGTGCGACGCTTTTTAGCCCCTGTGTGTTTTTTAAACTTTAAATGCCCCAGAGAGGGAAACCAACTCGAGTCTGGAGCCTAAAAAGCGAGGGGCGAATTTTTGCTTCATGTGTCCGTTGGAGTTTCGAGGATCGTCGGTTTGGTTTGTGCGGAGTGCGTTTGTGTGGACGGAGGACGAACGATGGATGGATGGTTGAATGTATATGTATGTATGGAAGGCTGTGCGTGCGTGAGTGTTCGGGAGATTTTTTTTTTGTAAGCGCACCTTTCTGGTTTGGGCGCAGACGAAAAATTTTTGGACTTAACCAGGATCCGACGGTTGCATAGCTTTTCTGAGTCCTCGAATAAAAACCTCGAAAAGACTCCCCACGCGGACGGGAGACACCCAACCAAACCTAACCATGGGGACCGGCTGCTGGACTCGCGAGCCGCTCGCTCTCCGATTCGTGTGCTATGATGCTGTGCACGGTGACGATTTTTATCCACGAGCCCACGACGAGTCAGCGAGGCGTCTAGTTAAACTAGATTTCCATTGGTCGGCTCGCTCTAGCATCGTTCCCCTTGACCTGGCTTCAGGGTTCATAATGTGCTACGTCATCTTGAGCGACCGTACATTCTATGGCTTGAGTCGTAGGATCGCGAGCTCTTTGAGGAATTTAATCGATAGCGGTCTTCCGATGACTCTATTCGCCGCCGCATTCCTTGGGGTTTCGAAGGTGGCTTCCTTCCCTGCGATGGATCGCGTCTTGGCCACTGATTGCACTCCCGCGACACGATACGCAGTCTCGATGAATTAGTATCCGAAACGTAATTCGGCAGTGCCTCCGAATACATCAGCCGTCGCTGTAGCAATCGCTCTTTTCCGCGAGTCGCGCTGAGCGGAGAATGAACCCCAGATGGTGTAGAATCGGAGTCCCGGAGATTCCGCAAGGGTGCGCAAATATAACCAATGATGACGATGTCCTATTTCGTTTCAGGAGGGGACGACGTACAGCAGCTATGCGAGGCCGGAGAAGAGGAATTCCTCGAGATCATGGCCCTGGTCGGCATGGCTTCAAAGCCCCTTCACGTTAGGAGGTTGCAGAAGGCTCTACAGGAATGGGTTCAGAATCCAGGTACGTGCGTTCGATGACGTTGGCTCGGGGCAGGGCACAAGGGACTGAATAGATTCCTATGAGGTCTCCGAGCATGCCGCTTTCAGATATGAGGAAGTTGTACGAGACGATTCGAATTCGCTTCTAAAGGCACGGAAGCGGATTCCGAAATTGAATCAGGAATTCGTTCGTTCCGTTCGACGGTTATACACTCGGAAGCATCATGCTGATAATTAGCAGGCGACGAAACGAGCCCGTATTACGCAGTCACGTACTTTACGAGACAACGAAGATGGAACGCAAGCACTCGTTTATTTGCTAGATAGGCGGGGTCTTAGATTCTTTTTTGGACCGCCCGTTTCGAAGCGGGCCTCGGTGGTGGTATTTTTTGTTGCTGATCACATCCATAGGGTAGCTTGCTCCGAGGGTCGGGTTTTTGTGAAGCGAAAGGGAGACATTCTGCGCTTTTTGCTTCGAGCCCCTGTGTAGGGTGGAGTCTACTTATGAAGCTCGTCCCAGTCTGTGGATTTTCGATTGGACTCCCCGGAAGTTTTCGGAGATAGATTCTAATCTTGGAAACTTTTCCGGAGCGAAGGAAGCTCATGCTCGGCTTCTGGTATATCGGCTCCGAAAGTAGAAAGCCGCCATTCCTCTTGGAGAAATAATGGCCGCCGGATTGAGAGCTGGATGTCCGACAGTCGCGAGCCGCGAGAAAGGAGGCGTCCTAAGTTCCGAATAAAGGTATAAGATCGCATGGATTCGATCGCGAGCCGTACGATGGCCGAGCTTCCTGTTTGTATCGACTCGGAACAATAGAGACGGTCTTGTGGGTCCCGAGCGGTAGAAACGTTGAAAGTGAGAGCACAGGAGGAGCATTCATCATTCCGAGACAGCGGATATCCTGTTAGAATTGATGAGATCCACTTCCCATGTCTTCACCTCGGAATTGCTTCGCATCTGTTGCTGTTGTCTAACGCCGCTCGATCCTGGTGGAGGTCGTTGATCACCGCGACGATCCGATCATCACCGTGGTTTCTGCCTACAACGTGGTAATCTAGTTATTCGGAGATGAGTAGCCTCGACGGGAAACTCCCACACACCGGGTTTCAAAACCCGAATTTAGTCTGGTGGTCACGACTGGTGAAATTCGAGAGAATCGCTTCGATTAGAGGCCTCGATTACGCGGTGTGCCACTCGGGCTCCTGCTACAGGTGACGACGCACGCCGACCGCTCAAACGACATTGCTGAGGAACATCTGCTTATCGTCACGCAAACAGTTGTAACAGCGAATTCGGTATTCCTGTTGCGTTTTCTTGGAGCGCTCTAGTTGTCTGAACTTGCTAGTTAGTTTTGTAATCCCGGCCGACTTTCTCGTTGCTGGTCACTCCGCCCATGATTAGGCGAAAACCTCCACCATCTTCATGACTCCTTTTTCTCTCGCGCGTTCTTTCTCTCGGTGGTATTTGACTACCTGACTCGCCTCAGCGACGCCGCCGACTCGCTGGTTGGCCAGTGGCTTCTCGCGGCAGATTATCCTCCTTGCCTTGAGATCAAATATTAACGCCGCCTGTTTGTGGTTCATCGGGCTTCAGGATAAAATATGCACTCGGCGCTCCACGGATTAACGGCGAGTCAAGAAAAAGATAGCTCCGTTTTTCGAAGGCACTATTCCGAGCCGATACATGCATGCTCACATAATAAGCCGATAGGCCAAACGCCTCCTTCGAGAGCATAAGCTCCTTCCGAGGAAAAATTGATCGCTTTAATCTTCTCGGCGCGCTCTTTTTCCTGGCTAAGCCTCTCAGCCGAAATATCGGAGGTTCTCGCCAAGCGGGCGATTCGATGCGATTCTCAGAGTCCCGCATCGGTCTCTCGCATAATTACTCGGAGCTAACCGGCGTTTTCGTTGTTTCAGCCATGTTTCAGAGTCCACTAGTTCCCGGAAGTTCAGGAACCGGGAATCCTGTGGTAACCCCGTCAAGCGGCGGTTTACCCCGGGGCCACCTCAGTACCCCCCAAGCGGGGGGTTCACAGAGCGGCCCCGGTTTGAGGCCACCATCCCAAATCATAAATCCTTCGGCTTCAACCACTTCAGGGCTGCTTCCACCCAAGCAAGCTTCGTCCAGTTTACAAGTCAATCAGCAACAGAAGCAGAAATCTCTCGACTCCAGCAATCAGGCGCTCGCACCGTATCCGTTCGCACTACAGCAGGTAAGTTGGATGGCGAAGAACCCGGAACTCGGACCCCTTCGAAGAAAGATGTCGCACCAGGCAGGGAAACTGTTGCATTGAATCGAGTTGCTCATTCGCCAAGGGAAATCTCGAATAAAATGAAGATGCCTCGGACTTCGTCAGAATCCGCGATTGAGTCATTCAGGCCGTTTTCGTGAAGTGAACTCTCAACCAGAGCGGAAGGTTTGAGACGTGCACGGCTGACGTTTGAGGGACTGAAGCCGAATTTCTCTTGAGTCACCATCACACAACGATGTGCTTGCGTTGGGGAAGCTAAGGAGATAATTATGGCACAGACTTCGAGTCTGCAGAGGATTGAACACACCGCTGCTAGATCGAGGCTCAAAGCAGCGACGTAATGGAGATTCTCTTGCTGCCATCAACAGGCTCGCTTGCCCATCGGTTGCCGATGCCGCGTTGCCCGACGATGCTCCCCCGACCGTCGAGTCTTCGGACAACGGAAGGGCGAATTTTCGAAAGAAGTCCGGGGTTTCCAGCGGAATTCCTCTTCTTTGCTGACCTTACTACCCTTTATTAAGCGGGGAGGGAACCGTTCGGAGACGTTTCGATCGCAAGAATCGATTATAATTGTTATTAATTATTATTATTATTGTTATCCACGAATGCCGCGGCGCTGAGGGTTGAAAATCGAAAATAGACAAAAGTGCGAGAGTGAGAGAGCGGTAGAGATGCATGCGGAATTGAATCTATCATGTGTCACTTGTGATGATTGGCCCGGCTACGTAGCTGCTGGTGCCAATGCCGGCTCCGGACCGGCTCGAGCACTCGATGCAAAAACTCTGTGCGTGTCTAACATAGCTCATATTTTTATGTAGTGTGCCTCCATAAGCTTCGCTTCAGGTCGAAGAGAAGAAAGAAGGGGATGCGAGTAGATGGGGGCAAGCAGGCAGGCAGGCCAGTCGGCGGCAGGCAAGCAAATCGAGCATTCCTTCTTTCGGGCTTGACTGGGGGCATTTGAGAACAACACCATCGATCATGACACCAGCCACTACCGACAGCCGGATCCAAAGACTCTCAAATCTCATCAATCGAGAGCTGAAGTTGCACAAGCACAACGAGACGAAGCACTCTTCTTCTACCAGGCGCTCGGTGGCTGGCTGGCTGGCTCGGTCGGTCGGCGGCTCTCTAAGTCGGTCGCTCGGTACGACTGTCTTCAGCACTCAGTCAGCCGATTCGTGTGTCTCAGCTGTGAATTTCTGGCTGCATCATGCATGCATGCGTGAGCGGTCCTTTCTTTGAGCACATCTGCCGCTCTGGGCAGCATTTCCGTTCGGCTCTGCTATTTCATTACAGTTTCTTCTGCCGCGATGATCTGGCTTCTGAAGAATCTGACCCACATGTTTATGATAGAGATTTCCGCTTCTCGTCAACGGTGTTTTTTTCCCCGCCCGGATCACGGAACTGCTCCATCGCGTTGTGGAGACCTCCAGAGCAATCCCCTTCGCCGACCAAATCCCCTGAATGTACCCCACATGAACTGCATCTCATATCCCGTGGAATAAAGCCGTGGTCTGTGCGCCGTGAGGGCACCGCAGTATTGATAAATGCGCCTTGAGCACTTCGGAAGTCATAAGAAAAGAAAGGCACAAGTTGCGCGATCCGAATTTCCTTGCTTATTTCTAGCGCTCCGAAGAATAACTGACTCCCCCTATCTCATTCGACGCAGCCTCACCCAATTAGTGCTCACTACCAAGCGAGGAAGACTTGGCGTAGAGCTCATTGTGCTCTGAATTGTGACAAATTAGAACAGAAACCAGATAGATCGAACGGAGAGATACGACGAGCCAGCCGAGCGATGTCACAAACGGAATCGGTCATTCAGGGCTAGCTGATGAATAGATGAGGTAATGGGGGGTCACTCCGATCATCGTTCGCGACTTGGACCTCCCTCGCGGCCTCGCGGTACGCTGAGCGGCAGGGACGGCCTCGTTTGTGTCTGTCCGGCTGCACGCACGCGCCTAATCACCCGATCGGAGCTCATTCAGGCCAAATGAGAGCTATCTACGGTTCCCGATTATGATTGGCAAGTTAATTCACGCATCCGGGGTGATCCTTGACCGCTCACGGAGAACTCGAATGCCGCGCGATTCCGACGCATCCCGCGTCGTACGCGCTCGCATATGAGAATTTTTCCGGTAGGCATTGCCAGCGACACGGCAGCGTCGGAAATAATTATTCCGATCATTATGACTGTGAAGTTCGCGCCGATTTCATTGGGCCCGAAGAGCCTGTTATCTCCGCCGTAATCTGTGCGAGTATTCACGAGCGTGTTTGAGTTCGAGTCACGTTTTCACAGAGTTCGTCCGAGACAACAAGGAAAAAACTCAATTATGACTCGCAGCTTTTGTCCGTTGTCGTGGATACCGACAGGACGTGATACTCTACGGATACGTTTTTAATATCTCTGAATGCAATCGGAATGAGTGGTTGGACTCCAGGATCTAATCCATCTCACAGAGACCCATACCGAATAACCAGCTCCGGTCACCCGCTGTGTTCCTGCCATAATTCAAACTTTTCGAAACCTCGAATCCGGAACTAGTAGGGAACCTTCCATGACCGGAGCGGGTTTCCCTCTTTTTTTCCGGGACACTGCCGGAATATCGTGAACTGTGAATCCGGATAATTCTAGAGTCCGGATCCCAGCCAACGAATCTCATGAAAGCGACAGCGCCGTCGGGATAATTACCGAGAATTAGCCAACGACTTTCCTGCCGCGATCCGCATCTGCGCGTTTGATATGCATGTGTCCAGCGTGATGCATTGTTTTTGTTTGTACGTGTAGAAGACATCAGCCTCCGCAACACCAACAGCAAAATAACAACAAGCCTCAACCCTTTCACCCAGCTGGCTCGAACCATCTGTCCAAGACTCACTACTCCCACTGCGCTCCTGCTCCGATTCAGAGTTACTTTCTAATGGCTCCCGGAGCCTCGTTGAGAACCTCATCGTTCAAACGCTGAATCCTCCGACCCATATTTTCGTAACACGATTCGCGGTTGCCGATGGTTTAAGTTTTCCTGAATGAAGGATTCGGGCGATTGCTCTTTGACGCGGAATCAGCAGCAGACCTCCACATCTTTCCAACGAGCCAGTCATTCTCAGTCATTCTGAAACCCCGATGAGCGCTTCAGTTTATCCTCGAAGACCCTTCGTTCGGTGGGGAGACACATTATGTGCAGAGATTTTTCTCGGGCCTCCGGAATGCACCTAACCTGCTTCAAACTCATTCACTCTTCCCGAACATTTGAACATCCTCGCCGAAGTCTCATGTGAGACGACGATAAACTCCACGAGAGCTTTTTATTCGCTGGTCAGAAAGCTTCCCTTTCACTCAGTCGGCCTTATCGGAAATAGATCCGCTCGTTGAAAGTTTAACTTGGATTCGCAGAGAAAATCACAGATGTTTTCAATTGTTTACCGTTTGCTCCCCACCTGAATGTGTTCGAATCGTGTGTCTATCAGAGCAGGCCATCACAAAGAAAAAACTGTTCGCATATTCGCCAACGAACCGCTATGCCATGTTTGCACTTGAGAACAGGCAACCTACATCGACTCCCGTCAGCCCAAACACATAGCTTCATTTAAAAGTGGTCCCCCGAACTCTGACGGCGTGCACTTGATTACTTTCGATTCTTTGCGCCGTACGCTTGGGATGGAAAGAAAAGGAAAGCTCCTGCTACCACTGACGGAGCTGCTTATGTTACCAACTGTTGCCAAGTTGTTCATCATGCTCGTCCTATCTCGATCGAGTGTTGGCAAGCTGGCTCTGTGGTGCAGCGTCGGTGGAGGAGTTCAACCCTGAGTTTTTCATTGATCGAATTCCGATTTTAGAGCAAGAAATCAGCGCTCGCAGGATGAAACTTCGCAACGTGCAGCTCGGTCGGAGCTTTTCCGAGGAGCTACTCTCCCAATATCTTCGGGTTGTCTTATTAGATTCCCGAGTTTGAAGGATTCCCTTCTGTTAGGAATTGAAATCCTTCCTAGTTGTAGACGAAGTAGGTAACGGAGGCTGCTATAGAGCTCCGCTAAGAAAACACTCATTCAAAATTCAGGAATTCGGCTTTCAGAACGGCGGTCGAATCTCACCACCGTCTCCATCAGGGATCCTCTTGAATCAAGCCTCACTTGACGACGCTCAAATGAGCAAAATTGGTGAAGCCGCTGAAATTCTCGTCAGATCCATTCTTCCAACGCTGTCTCCGTACGACATAAAGAACATGAAGAAGCGAATTCCGAAAGAAATGGAGGTGAGTCCAAGTCCCTATTGTACGTACCCATATGTCAAACGTCGCAAAAAAGCCGGCTTAAAGAATTTCCTGCTCTCTATCGGTCCGAAACGCGAGGTCGGATCTCGAGATACCCTCCGAGAGCCCGTTTGCGGAGGGAGGAAGCATGAGACGTATGGGCGGAATGGCAATATGAGATCGTAGCTGCCGAAAGATGAAAGTTTATCCTTTCTGAAGCGACCGGCCAGGGAGGGAACGGACATTTAGCCAGTGTTCGAGAAGTGGGAGAAAGCCGGCGCCGCCGGACGGCGGTGTCATTTACCGTAAGACACTCATCGCCAGTGTCCGAAGTGTCAAGTTTCTTTGGAGCGGTTTTTGAACGACGTGCGCGCGGAGTGTCGGAGTCATGGATGCAGCAAAAAGTCGCATCCTTTCGAACTGCTTTTCGCTCCGGATAAGGAGGGGCGTCGTTTTCGGGTTCTTAACGAAATTCTCTTTAAATGACCAGTGTCCTCTAATGAGAGCTTGAAGGCAAAGTGAACACTCCATTTAACCCACCAGCTAGTCGCATCACCGAAACTCCTTCGACTGCTCCTTCTCCCTCTTCTGGGCTCTAATGCCCGAGCTTCTGCTCGGCGATCCGACGACAACTGCTTCGAGGGCATAACAGCTCCACTTGAGCGAACTCTGGAGATTGCAAACGTGCGACTTTCCGAAGTTTTACAATCCGAAGCGACGTGTTCCTTGAGCTGGCTGCAACCCGATTCGAGAGGAACGAAGATCGTTCTCAGGTCTGCTCGCCCTGGGATTCCGGTCAGAAGTCATCATTTCCATCAAGAATTCCCTCTCGAATCCATTCGTCTCCACTGGAACTCCAAGTTGCAGAACGGAATCACGCAGGTCGCTGATATTGTTTCCGATAGCGGAGCGTTCGCTATCGTCGTCGAATGCTGGTCCGAGAGGAGAATTTTTTTTCTTCCTCTGAAGAAAGGTGCTTTCAATTCCACACGGTTGCCTTCTGGAGAGGCGAGCCGAATCATTGTTGGACTTGGCGCTTCTTGCTGGCCCCACATGTGTTGCATCCTTCAATCCGTCATCGACGGCTCTCAGCTGTTGCTTTGGCATTTTTTGTCCATCTTACCCCCTTCACAGGCTTCAGAAATTGTGAGCTGTGACAATACACGCACAGCGGCGGCGGCAGAGAGCGGAAAAGAGAGAGCTAATATGTTTTGATTTGAGAGCACCGATACAGCGGAGCTTCGGCGATCATTTCACCCTTCCTTTGATCCTCTGACGATAATCCTTCAACTCCTCGAAACACCCTAATCAACTCCGAATGAAGACAACCTACCGGGTCAGGCAGTACTCCGATCTCGGGCTTTTTACTCGCTCGGATCGATCCAGTCTTGAAGTTCACAAACATTCGGCGCAAGAGATGCATGGGAGAACCACTGAATTCCCCGACCCTCAACTAACTTACGATTGAGGCGGGCTGGGTGGCAAAACTCGTCAGCTCACTGACCAAAGGGTTTGCCTCGGGCTGTGGGCATCGAGCGAGCCCCTGTGGAACGACACCGAGGAGGGGTCACTCGCAAGCGTCGCGGGCTGCACGAGCTTGAGAGAGAAAAAATGAAAATTGATTAAAAATGGTCGCAACCACCCGATGAAGGATTGTCCGTCTAACTCAGCCAGACACTGAGCGGCGTGCCTCCGAGGATGTGAAGCGTGCCTTTCGGGCCCACAGCAAAACGGAGTGACCGCCCTCATCGTAGCTCAACGGTGTTTGCTCGCGATTCCCAGGATTGCATCTCATAACCAGTCGCGACAAGAAGCAACCTCAAGCAGTTTTCGCTTCAGGACAGATTATTTCCTGAAACGGAGATCTATTCAGCTCGAGAAGCATTGGGTAGTCCGGTTCTTCTCCCCAAGGGCGGTGGTGGATGAAGTTCCATTGCATTTGTCGAGTTTGTTGACGACAAGGCGAAGAAGCAATTTCATAGTCGATTTGCTTCGTCTGTAATGTCGTGTGGTCTGTCTCTCGTGAGGAATTCCCGCTCCCTCGCGCGTTTGCTTCCACTCGTATTTATTCGTCGCCTCGGCTGCTGATGCTTGCAGTGTCTTGTTGTTTTTGTTTTGATTTTTTCTTAGGGAGGCCTTTCGGCAGCGTTTTTGGTATGAGCGGTGTTTGTGTGTGCGCCTGCTACTCCCGTGCGAGCGCCGTATTTAAATATTAATAGCAGCAGGAGCAGCATCCGAAGAAGAAGAAGGGAATGCGGTGCTCCTCATTAGAAGCTCCTCTTGCTACACAATACGATAAAAAAACAAACGCTAAAAACCGGGCTCTCACAGACACCACACTTGGAAATGCAGTTGTATCGACCGAAACTGCCAATGAGCGGAACAAGGGGTCGAGCTCATCCCCGATCCTGGATTTCCGTCCCCCTTCGTCACAATCCCACAGAAATCAGATGTCGTTCCCGAAGAATGTCGCGAGAATTTGGGACATGAATCGTGGTTTCCATAAGATTTCCTGCAGTCATTAGCGTTCGATGCTCAATGGCGCGTCTCGTTGCCTGTACTGGAGAACTGAAATCGGAGGAAGACACAGGGAATTTCTCTCCTTACCGTTGTCGCTCTCGTGCCGAGACTCACCCAAGGCATAAAAATCCATTGGAGCGACGAGAGGTCCACGTTAAAAACAAACAAGGTGCATCTCTCGTTGAGCCCTCCGGCGAAACCCTCTGTCGATGACCCCTTCTTGTCTCCCCATCGCGAAAGCCTCCGTTCTACCTTAGTTCTCACAAAAAAGGCACAAACACTAATAAGAGCCTTTGAGGTTTGGAACGCCCGGCGTGCATCACGAGCTCCGCAAATAGAGTGTGGTGGCCGGTCGGCCAGCCCTGTGGCTTGCCAGCTTGTTCGATGGCCAAAAGGATTCGCAGCGAGCTCTGACTGAATGACTGTCTGAGTGAGAAACCCGGCGGCTCGACGAGGAATCCTTTGTCTCAAGCATTTCCTCTTTTGTTGCAGTTCGTTTTGACGATGTGCGAGGACGATCCACGCCGGATGGAGGAGATCCGAAAGTTTTCGGCAATCTATGCGCCCACGAGCAACAAGCGTAAATCAACCTCGGCCGATAAGGCTCTTCTACTCCAGGAGGTTGCCATCAACGAGGCGGCAGCCCAAATTTGTCGCCACATCCCAGCGCTATTAAGCCGAAAAGACGAACTCTTTCCACTCGCCAGACAGGTCGTACGCGACTGTGGATACCAATTCGCGAAGACGTGAGTTTCTCCTCGTCGGTGAACATCTCCATCTTTTCTGGATACTCTACTCTGAGAACGTCCTCGCACCTATTGCCGAAATACGTTTGAATCCGATTGGGAAAATAGAAAAATTTCCGAATCCTCTCCACAGAGACGAGTGCCCTTCACCCGCGCAAGCGACGGCGTCGAAGCGGGCCCGTGTTCAGGAACTCGGGTTCCCGGCAGCCGACAAGGCGCAGGTGGAGGATGAGAGGCGTAAGAGACAGGAGCGACTGGAGCACATCAATGAACAACTCAGGTAAGCGAACGACATCGTTTTTCGATTTTCCCTCCCCGATAGTAACTGAGCCCGCTGTCATACGGCGAATCCTTATTGGATACGACTGGGGCAGTGATGCATTCGCGGACCGCGATTTCATCGCAAACTTTGTGGTTCTTCCCCTCGTCCCCCATTGAGATACAATGGAGACTACGAGGTGTCGCGATTCCCTGCAAGAGTCATCGCGGAAAATTCGGAGTCTCAGTCATAACACACGACTTCCTCAGAAAATCGTCTCCTTGGGTCGGGATCACACCGCTTACTCAGACCATTCCATTGCAGATCCCTGGGACGACAACAGGAGGATCTGAAGTTACGCTTATCGCAAGTTCGTGACGTTTCGCTTGCGGCGGGAATTCAACAGCAATTGGAGCAGATCTCGCAACAGCAAATGCAATTGCTTAATGATCAAAATGACGTCTCTAAACAAATCAAACGAATTGAAAAGTGAGTTGAACAGAATTCATGCTGGACGATGAAGATTCCGTCTCCCTCTCGTGAGGCGAATCATTCTGGAATGTTCACAGGAATGTCCGCGATGAAGGGGTGAGCCTTGCGGACATATCGATTTATAATCCCCCCCCCATTCCGTCAGTCTGACGCTCTGCTTGATTTCCGGTGAATTGATGCTGCCATGCAGCAAGCTCGTTTTATACGACGATATTCCAATCAGAAGTGAGCCCGAGTCCCTCTCTTGAAGACAAAACTCGCAAGGTCGCATGGGGAAGCTCTGGTAGCAGGGGAAAAACGGGGAACGAGACGGCGGGGAGCAAAAAGATCCGGTCTGGCTGCGAGTGTACGGCACTGGGACGTCAATGGCAGCTCCGCTGGAGAGACGGTGGCCGCTGCGACGCAGCTCTTGCTGGTCGCTTCTCACAAAACACGTTTTCTCTCCCTCTTGCTATGCGCGTTTTTGGCGGAGGAGGAGTACACCCCTCGCAGCGCCCTCCCCCTCCTCGTCGAGCCCTTTTTTGAGCCCTGCCAGCATTCCCGAATTCCCTCGCCTCCTCAATACGGGACGCTTGCACCGCTGGTATCGCCACTGCCTCCGCTACCGACGCCGCCACCGCCGCAACGGCCACGTAAAGCTCAAAAAGTGTTCTCTTGCTTAGTGGTGACGGGCGGCGGCGGCAAGAAGCGGGGAGGCTGGCAGCGGGAGCGGCGGCAGCAGCAGCGGTAACGGCGAACGGGGCTTGCAGCTAAAACACGCGATTCTTTTTGCTGGCTGCGCGTCTCTTCCCTCGGTCCCCTTTTTGTGTGAGCCCCGCCTCGCTCGCCCGCTTCCTCCGTGTTCCCCTGTTCCCCGCGACCCCCGTCCCGCTCTCCTCGACCGAGCGTGCCCCGTTTCGCCCCATAGTCGCTTAGGGCGTTGCTATGGCGTTTCTGTGCCCCCCACTTACTTATGCTCACAGCAATAAAAAAAGGCTCCATCTCCCTCGGTCGTTGCGCGCACTTCCAAGCTCCGCCAAAACGAAGCGCCGCCGTTGCTGCTGCCGCCGCCGCCACCAACACAGTGGACAGTCCGTTCGCCGGTCGTTCGGCCAAGCAGTCGATGCCTCTCAAGTTTTTTCACCCCTTTGACACACATGGGCAGCACTTTATTGCTGGCGCGGACACATCTTCTTTTTAGTGCTGCTCGATCCCATCTTCGCCGACGTCGCGTCGTCGTCTTCTTTTCTTGCCCGAGGGGACATTGAGTTGTATCAGTCTGTGCCTGGTTTCGTCTTCTGCTGGCGAGCGTGACTTCGATCGCCACTCGGCGAGCCTTCCCCAGACGAGATTCGTCGTCGTGGACGATCGGGTTGGACAGCTACCCCGTTCCGGAGGATTCGGTCCCATCTGACCGGATCGACAGCAATGTCCGGAATCGCTCTTCGAACGCTCAGGTCAAGGATCGGTCCAGTTTCCGTAGAGATCCGAATCGCTCCGGAGTCGTCTCCTCGCCTCTGTCGACAGAGCAGATGCCAGACAGCCAGTCGTCAGCCATAGGTTGATCGAGCTGCCAAACGGATCAGAGCCCGATGCGACGGAGCGACCGTCGGATCGCGCGACAGGGTCACGGGGCAAAGTTTCTGCCGCTGACATGTCACTGATTGTGGCTTGGTTGACCCTTTGATACGACGTCCAGCTTGTCAGCCGGTCTCTGATCGGTCTTGCGCCCATAGAGGAACAACTGCATGAGGGACTGGCTCATAGATGCCTGACTCGATTCGACGGCAGTCGATGTCATTTTTTGTGTGACATTTTTACTCGGCGAGCTCGGAGAAAGCAATCTAAGCGTGCTCGCGGTTCAATCGGCTTGAAGTCGATTTCACGGATGTCGTCGTCATCATCATCGCCGCGGTGAAAGTGGTGGTTCGGTTGTCACTCACAAAGCTTCTCCAGGTCGACCCGACGAGATGGGCCGCCGCCGCCGCTCACCAGCACCAACGAGCACCATCTCGCTGATTTTGGCAATTTCCATTCATTTGGACCCAGTCAGTCACTGACTAGACGAATCGGGTTCTATTCAAAATTCCGCTTCGTTTGTTTCTTTGGTCGGTAAACAAGTCGGCGCGCCGAAGATTTCCACTTTTTAATTCGTCGGGCTGACAGACAGGCAAGCGAGCGAGCGAGCCAGCGACCGAGTGAGCGGCCAGGAGAACGGACGAGCGAACGGGGCCGCTCTCGGAGTGGGTCTCCCTGAGCTCGCTGGGTTCCTTTTCGTAACCCTGTTTTAACTAGTCAGAAGGGACGGGGGGCAACTTTTTACCAGCTCAGTCAGCCAGCGAGCCAGTCGGTCTCCCTGCTGCTGAACCCTTTTCTCCCAGCAGCGACTGGATGCAGCATCAGCAAAAGCTCCTCCGCCACTGCTACGTGGTTAAAAAGTGGTGACTCATCATCATAGAGAATGCGCTGTGTCCACTCGACGACGCGCAAGAAAAAAATCACGAGAAACATAAAGGCAGATAGAGGCAGGGGAGAGAGGTGTTTGTCCGTTCGTTGGTTGGTTCGTTCGTTCGTTCGTTCGTTCGTCTGTCTGTCCGGGGATGCTGCAGCTCCTGCGGATGCTGATGGTGAGGACAAGTTTCTCTGAATCACTCTTCCAACTCGACGAATTCCGCAGGAATCCTACCCTCCGACAGCTGCAGAGACAGACTATCCGTGGATCCAATAGAACCGAATCTTCTGGGGACGTCGCGAGTCTCAGCTCAGGTCGGACTACGGGCAGATACGTGACGCAATCCTCCAGAAACGATGATTATCATTTATCGTCAAGTTGGACATCGTCAGTTCACGATCACGAGCGATGGCGCTTCTATGGAGAGAAGGGGTCGAAGACAGGCGAGCTCCGTGAAGTTGGGACGAGACTGACTGAGATCCATCCAGGCAGGCAGCTGCTTTTGAGAAGTGGAGCCCCCCCATAGTAGTTAGACCAACAGCGAGACGCTCGCTCGCCACTTGAGATGGCCCTACCCGCTTGCTCGGTTGCCTGCAAACTATTACGTTTTTTATGTCAACAAACAAGCACCACCCAACGAGCTTTTTCTAACCGTTGGCTTCTTGTTCGTCATCGACGCCGCCGGCGCTGCTGTTGCTTTTGTTGTTGCCGTTGTTGTCTCTGCTCGTCACCCGTTGCCATCCCTTCGATCAGTCAACGGGGATGACTTGAGCTTCCTCGCCTCCATTCCTCATGACGGGGATTCCGGAGCGAGGACTCGGGTTTTCGAAAGGCTGGGATGAAGAGAATCTATAGAGATCCCCTTGTCGTTCCACGACGTTGCTCCCTCGATGAGCTCCGTGAACCCGCCGTCCCGGAACGATCCCGGATCCCTCGTAAACGATCGGAGGATACTTCCGCGCTTATCGAGATCGTGATATCCTCATTCCAGAGAGGACGTCACGGTAATTCGCGACGCGAAAGTCTTCGACGCGCTGCTTCAGAGTTTCGGAGAACTTTTTTATTAGGTATCATGGGGTCGCGTGCGCTCCAACGTCGCGACGTCTCGCTCCTCGTCAAGGCGTTTTTTGGCGTCACATCAGCCTTCCGTTGCTTAGATTTTCCGAAGAGTCGAGTATGCTTCCGAAATCATTCGCCTGGAGCTGTCCAGGATTTCGGTGATTTCCATTCGTGACAATGAGTCGGAGAGTCCGTTAAAGGGAACAACGGGAGAAAGAGACACGAGAGCTTCTTCAAATACCGCTCGCTGTCTCGCTCGTTGTGAACCTCTAGGTGCCATTGTCTCTCATCGTCGTCCGAGTTTTTATGAACTCAAAAACTGCACGAAATGGCGTGACCCGTTCGATCTCACCCTTGGACGGCGCCGGCGTCGAGTGCCGCTGCGACGGATGCTCGAGCCCGACAGACCACGAGTAAAACACCCTATCGAGAAGTTACGCCTTCAATATTTGCAAAATAGGTTTTAATAATTATTGTTATACACCCTACCGCGCTTCTCTGCGAGATGCTTTTCTAATTTTTTTGGAAAATGATTGCTTTGGTTTTCTGAAGCTGCTCCGGCACTCGGGTCGCGTCAGGATGTCCCCCGCGGACTCCCGACTAAGGATTGATGAATCCGGAGATTATTCAACTCACGTGAACAAGGCAGAATGCCGTAATACCTAACGCCGGCTCTTTGGGATTACAGGTTCATGAACAGTCCGAAATTCGCGACAATCGCGGCAGCTGCGGCCGTTGCGTCGAGCGGAGGGATGTCGATAGAAACTAAAACCGATACTGAGGACACCGACTCGCAACTGAGTGCGCATTCGTATTCTAACAATTCGTCCCCTCCGACCGCGCACGTACCTCTCGAGCTTTCCGGACATAGGGCAGAATCGCCTACGGACGACTGGAACAATAGACAGAAGAAGACGAGTCAGCAGATCACTAAGCAGATTGTGCAAGAAACCCTGATGGATGAAGGACTCCGGGTGATCAAGGAGCTGGCAAACCAGATCCGGGGCTGCGCCGAAACTACTGAAACCGAAGTCGGTCTGCCCGCGGTTGCGACATTGGGCTCGTCCCCGTCGCCTATGATGCCACTCTCTCTCACTTGTGGAAATAAAGCCGAAGGAGCTGGTACGGGAAGGCCTAGAGGTAGGCCGCCCCGCTTGGACAGAGGGGATTTCGTTGGCACTTCGCGAACCATTTCTGGCTCTTCGTCAGCAACACCCCCACCGACACAAGCAACAACACCGACTTCTGCCTCTCCCCTCAACATGTCCCGAGGAAATTCGAATTCACCCAATCCGTCGATGACGGATCTATCGAGCAACGATAAGCCGACCAACCTCGTCGCGCTCTCAGCAGCGTCCACTACGACGTCGTCCGTATCGCCGTCATCTTTATTATCAGCAGCAGCAAATTCTGCCTCCAACGATAACAACATCAATAATTCGTCCTCCAATGGACACCACAAAGTCAACGGTGAGCATTGTTTTGGAAATGCTTGAATTTACAGTGAAACTTCAATGGTTATATCTTTCGAGTTCTTTTCCACTCATCGACGTGAGAGATCGTCTTCTGGCACCACAGATTCTTCTTCCGTTTCTCTCGTTTCTCGTTCTCAAGACACGGATGGGAAAAAGTTCCAAGTGTAACGACGGTGGTGATGATGATGATGATACAGATGGTGATGATCGATATGAGAATATTATAGACCGAGATCTTGACGATGATGGTCATTTCAAGAAAGGAATAATGGGCAAAAGATTACCGGAGAGAAAAACGATCGCGGTATCGGCGACATGGGAATCGTCGGCATGGCTTAGTGAACATTTTGACTCCCTTGATGATATTTATACATATATATATAAATAAATATGGAAATATATACGAACGGAAAGAAATGCTAGAAGTAGCCGCTTTCTATGGCCGATTGATCGACGCCCGAGGAAAAGAAACAAGAAGAGAAACGACCTTCAATGTAACAGGAATGCATAAGGACTTGTACGGCATGGTGTATTCATGGTCCCGAATAAAGAGATTAGTCACTGCTGTAAGGAGCGAATTCCCATGTCTTCAATGTAAGCTCAGCCATGTGACCTCGATGATCGATTTCGGTATATCTGGCGCGAAGAGTCATAGACTCCTCATGAGGAAGAGAATTCTCCCTGATTCTCTCTTCCTCCCACAGAACATAACCTTCGAGCTCATTGATTTCCCAAATACGAACCGAAGGATTTCAGTCGAGTTACTCGCATCGATCCCTTATCGGCAAGCTGCAATCCACTCGTTTCTCATATGGAACAACTCATATGAAATCGTTGGGCTAAGATGCGAGGTTCCGAATATTTCGACCGGAGACTGTGGGCATCCGACCTAATCGGGAATGATGGGTACGACCCGGAATGAAGACACGTTATCTCATCGAGGAATCGATTACGACTGATTCACTGTCTTTTATTATTGCGGTAGTCGCCGGTAGGCGCTGTTGTTCGAGAGAGGAGATGAGAGCATGTTTAGAAAGGGGCGCGATGCGCCATCACAACAGACACAATATTTTCAACAACTCATATTCGTTTCCAGGTTCGAATGACGACAGCGGCGAGAACAGTCTGAAAGCATTGTTGGCACTTTCACAGAAAGGAATGCTGAAACAGGAGCCGGGATCCCCGGCGACTTCACCGACCCAACAAGGCATCAAGATCTGAGGAAACGCTCCTCTCTGCGCTGCTGTGAACTACAATTTATCGAGCGAATTCCTCGGTTTCTAGGAAATACCGACACCGGAAGCGATGAGCCCTTAATTGTACCAGGTGTATGCAATCCGATTTTGGGGCATAATACGTACGGGAACTCCTCCGGAAGAAGACCGAGGAAGGATATATAGAAGTTTTCACGCGAAGGTATTCGCGTGAACGATGGAATCCCTCGGAAGGATAAGAAGACCCGGGAAGAAATGGGGCAGGCGTAACTCAAACTTTCGCCTGATGGTAGACAGATCAGTTTGAGGAATAAGGATAATACGCGGGGCGCTGAAGAGTGAGACGACGTTCCTGATACGCGACCCTGTTGTATACGATGATACTTATATTTATTTAGGTAGGTGTTTGTAGATGGCTCTGGGAGCCTGACCGGGAAAATGGTGATTAAAGGGAGCCGTGAAGTATTGTAGATCACAGCTGTTAGATCTACTTCCCGACGAGAGAGGTGTCGGATATGTGGGTGCGAGCTTAGCCTCACAATGAAACCCATGCTACCGTCACACGGAAACTGCATTAGGTAATCTACTCTATCGAGCCAGCTAGCCGTCATCAAGATGAAAAGAGGGAAGAGGGAAAGAGATACTTATTGCGTGTACAATATACTTCTTGAGTATTCTCGTCAATAAAAATGGAGAACTTCAATCAACCTGATCACCTCTTGATCTTCTTCCTGCAAGTTCTCCATTTCCGGAATGTACCGGCGTAATGGAGACGATCCCGCTGATAAGTCATCTGACAAGAACCAAGACGTATTTGATCGCCCGCCTCGATCGATAGTGATGCTCGGCATCGTCGGGTGTGTGGATACTTTCGCCTTCCTGCGACGCGGCGAGCAGACAGGCAATACCCCGATCGATCCTTTCGGTATCCGCGAGCTTGAGCGCCGTCTCCGGAACGGTTCATGGGAAAGGAGCTGTTGATTATTATCAACAGCCCGAATTACACGGATTAGTTCGGCACCCAATGCCGACGGGTGAAAGGAGTTTATCGAGGAACGTCAGGCAAAATCTACATATATCTCGAGGCAAAACGAGACATCTCTGCAGCATGCAGGAAAAGAGCCACGAAATGTTCCGTACATAGGAGTGCGGCTTCTTCCTTCTCTTTGAAGGGCCGTGGGATCTCTGAAGATGTTGTGGAAGGTCCAATATTCCCTCAATTCGTAGTTTTTGAGCAAGCTCTCCGAAGTGTTTACCTCTATAAGCCTAGCGAAATTCTCAGCTCGCGACTAGGCGCTCCTTGAATATTTGTCAGAAACGTGGTAAAACAAATTCGCATTCCCGCCTTCACGTGGACTTGGCCACAATTTTCGTTCTATCCCATAACTCTCACCGAGGGCCTCGCACCCCCCCCAAGGCGTTCTAGTGCCCCGAACGGGTCCCACCCAGATGCGGATATCTCTCAGAGAACGTGCCCGATGTTCTCGATCCCTGAGTCGATTTCCACACGGATATTCTCGATCACTCGAATCAGAATGCAGCACTCGACGACATCGGTCTCTCTGAGGTGCGGCCCGGAATGGACCACCCTCTCTCCGCGCAGTGACCAGTAGTTCGATATGAATGATAATCCGTTTTTTTATTTCGCGGAATCGGGATATCTTCTCTCAAGGGATCCGATGCGGAGGCTCGTTGACTACGTATACCGAATCTCGACGTCGTCTGAGAAACGGGAGCTCGACTCCGCGATGCTCCCCGAGAGGCGACTCGATGGATCATTATCATTATAGAGCTTCTCTCTTGCACCCCGAGACAGTCATGCGGGGCATGCTCTACCTGATGCTCTTCCTATCTCTCACGACTGACGTCCCGAGTTCACACCGATAAACAATCGCGACAAACATTCGGAATCTATCTTGTTTTCCCCGACGACTCGGAAAAACTCGCGAAAACATGGTAAACAGTTTTGCTGTTCACTAGCAGCGGCTCTCGGACGAGGGAAATCGAGACAGAACACAGCAGGTTTTCTGTGGATAAACAGACTACGAACATGCTGCATTGCTGACTCTTGAGAATGTTGATCCAGAACTCTTCAAGCCAGATTCCACAGAGGGTCAGCGAGGCAATCACTCGATCATCGATCATGGAAAGTGTCCAAGCGGACTAAAGGACATTGTTCGCGTTCAGTTTTACAGTGGACGTCTCCCTTGGTCGACGGGGGCTGGCCTGGCGGCTGTTTACAATACCTGCCAACAATCAGAATAATTGGACAGCCTCATTCGTTATCTATGTCTGAGGAATCCCTCTGATTAGCCTGGGTACTTCTCAAAATATTTGCGCAGATAGCGATGCGTGGCTCGTAGGCGGTTGGAACCGCTTCGCGAGTCCTCCTACGATTTTTGGATTGAATGGCTTGTTACTGTTATCCAGAAATCAGCTAGAGATCAGCACGGCACAATTTGACAAGGGCTGGCTGAGGAAGGGACCCAAGGAGAAGACCAAATTGCGTTCTACCCGGTACGCCCGTCCATCGGAAGGGAAACATCCCTCGACTGTTTCGCCGTGAAATGTTCAAGAGATTCAGGCAGCGTTGAAGCGCTCGGGTCCTTTCGAGGGATCTCAAAAATACCCACGTAGCGCCTTTTCACGACGAAGATAAAGATCGCGATACCTCGTTCATCATCAATTTCTGCTGATACATACGCCCAGGGGAGGGCATCTGGATCTTAGGCGTAGATTTGATCCCAGGGGACGATAGTTCAACGGATTTCCTTCGACAGCAGTCGATGTTTGCTGCCCTGAGGAACAGTTCCTGTTCGCAAGATGACGAACGATTCCTCTGCCAGAATCAGCTGATCGCTTAGGATGCGTTCTGTCGGAGGCGGCCGAAGCTCCTGGCCCGTCTACTCAACGAATGTTGGAGACACTTGATGACGTGCCCCTGTTCCGAGCCGAGGACCTCTCTTACGAAGATTTTTGTGTTTTCATGACAGAAAACCGTCCGTGCAGAATCTCAGGCATCACGGAGCAGTGGCGCGCCACGAAGGAATGGGTCCTGAATGCTCAAGTGAACACGAGAAGACTTCGGGAACTCTTCGGAGATTCCGTCGCTCCGATTGCGGATTGTCAACGCAGTGAGTACGGGTCTCAACCGAAAACCGAGATGACCATAAATAATTATCTGGATTACTGGGAGGAACATAGACGACCCGCAGTCGACGAGCATCGTTGGGCTAACACGGCGCAAGAGAAGTGTCTCTATCTCAAAGACTGGCACATGCAGCGTAATTTTCCCGAATTCGCAGCTTATTCAGTACCGCGGTACTTCTCCTCGGATTGGTTAAATGAGTTCTGGTTGGCCAGCGATGGTCAGGACGACTACCGGTTTGTCTACATCGGACCCAAAGGGTCCTGGACACCTTTGCATTGTGATGTGTTCGGCTCCTTCTCATGGTCGGCGAATATCTGCGGAGAGAAGTTGTGGATTTTCCTGCCACCAGGCGAGGAAGTTTATTTCAAAGATATCAATGGCAAGCTCGCGCCTGACATAACGCACATCACGGATCGGGATCGATATCCAAAATTGCACGAACAAAAACCGGTTCTCAGAGTTCTCCAGAGAGCCGGTGAAACGATTTTCGTGCCTTCCGGCTGGCATCATCAAGTTGTCAACACCGAGGACACGATCTCTATCAATCATAACTGGTTCAACGGGTACAATTTGTTCCATGTGGCGGAGCACCTTCAGAATGCAGAAAATGAAGTGAAAAAAGAGCTGAGCTTCATGGAGTCCGATGAAGCCTTCGGGAGTCAGGTGGAAATCGTTCTCAGGGCGCATCACGGCATGAACCGCCACGATTTCCGTGAAATTTTGGATTTCATCGCCCGGAGGCGCTTGGAATGCCCGGAAGATCAGAACGCACGTTTCGACTTGCTGAAGTGTTGTGAATTCTTGGAGGACTCTGTGCTAAAGGATGAGATCAAGGTCTTGCTGAGTGATTCGATGCCCAACGGAGTTCATCGATAATGTATATCAGCTCAGCGGCTCGTCTCTAACCTTTGTCCATCATCGCCGCATCGCTCACTCACAGCCTGCGTAGGCGATCCCATGCGCGTACAGCGCGTGTTTTGCCCTGTGAATAAAGCTCGAACCGACTGGAGGCAAGCTCTCTGGCAATCATCATTGTCATTCCGTCGATTGGTATCTAACTGCGCGAAAAGTCGTCCAGCGCCGACCGGCAATTATCCGTGTACTTCTCAGCGTAAAAAAGTATGAATCCCGATCAGAGAACCTAGTAAGCCGAGCTAGTAAGCCGAGCTAGAGTCTCCAGATAGGATATGCGGCAGTATCCCTCGCGAGCATCGTTTTGCGGAGCTCATGGAACATAAGAGGATCTCCAAATTAGACATGCATTCGGCATGTATTGGCCTGCTGTTGAGATTCAGCGGAGACAAGCGTGGCACCTATCGTGATCTTATCTCCTAAAACCCGAAATCTCGGGCTATCTTCTAACCGGGGAGGAGTGCGGGTCACCAAGCGTCAAAAGTCACAAGCAAAAACTTTCAATGATCGATGGAGGTAGCATCGGTCGACGTCAGAGTGCAGCCGTTGCTGGACGTTGGACTCGAGTTTGACTGGGTTTCCGATTCACTCAACAGAGAATGGTTATCGGTATCGCTAAGGTTGCAGACTGCCCACTCTTCATTTCTGATAGTCTAGCTATGACAAGGATATCGAGACGAATGAACAGGCGGACGAGCGCCTATATACGCCTCGTAAACACGCTGGAATCGCGCATGCACCCGTTCTCCCGTTTGGCCGCCTGTCTGGAATTCCAATCTCGTTATCTCCAACACCGACGGAGCGGCGATCGTAGATCCTGACTCTCCTCTCGGCAGTCCTCCATCCGCCCCCAGAATTCGATATTGAGCTGAAAGGGCATCTGATGAAGTGAAATAAAATCACATATGCTGAAGGGTCCTGCCGCGTCTTCAGGCGCTCGCTGGCCTCCGGTGTATCTGGAAATGAGGAGCAAGGCACCGAATTGAGTCGCGATACGTAGATAAGAGAGCCGATCGGGTAGCGAGTGGGAATACGGGCGATTTTTCGGAGTCGGATCCGTATCTTCGGGAGCGAGTCTGCTCTCGAACAGTCCGCGGAAAAGAGGTCACTCGAGACGAGCGTCTCAGCCACGAAGATCTTCCTTTCGCCTTCTTCGGTTTCTATTCCAGTGTGTCTTATGATTAAATCTGGAAGAATGATTGTAGGTATCACCTACGAAGTAGTAGACACAGCTGATAGACAGTCGGGAGAAGGCTAAACATCTTGTCCGGTAGGCTCGTGCGGGATTGTGAGATGTTGCACTTCGCCCCCGAGCTTTATCGTATCGGGTGCCCGAACAACCTTTGACGTAAATGCCTGTTCTAAGGTATTCTGAGATGAGAAACATCGAAACGCGGTTAACATTCTTCAACAGTTTTCCTTTCCTTCTTCGTTTTCGATGCACAAAAACTGGGCCTTATCGTCGAGAATTTTCGAGAAGGTTCACCCTGTCTGGGAAACGTCTGTCCAAAAGATGATCTCCCCTCACGCTCTCGTGTGACGCAACGACACGGACGCCGCTGCTGTCGCTCAATGTCAAAGCTGTTTGTCAACTTTGAATCCCTGCTTCCAGACAGGCCGTGTCGCGTCGAACGGAAATGTTCTCCAGGTCTCCCGTGAACAGACTCGTACATCCTCGTCTACAATCACTTTCGAGAACTCCGTCTCTTAGATCCCGCAGCAGTCGGTTCTGGAGCCGCATCTTGCTGGCCAGACCGCCGGTTTCACTCACCCTTGTCAGTCTTCTTGGAAGCGAGCTGTTCGGCTGTCGCCGAGCCCGGGAACCTCCACAAATTCGAAATTTTTCAAACACGTAATCGGATGCTCCGTGCTGTTGGATCTGTCGCTGACTCCAGAGATTCTGTTCTCGAATTCCGTCGAAATCATCGCAGCGGTGTATTTGATGGATTCAACGTCTCATCAACGAATTCCCTGAAGCATTTTTTCCTTTGACTGCAAGCAATTCCGACTCGAGAGAGCATCGTGAAGTTTTCACCGCGCCAAAGCTGTCTGTCAGTTGCGTGGAGCGACTCCGGACCCATGCCTTCGGTGGGACGTATTTCCCGTCGGAGCGGTTTCAAGTCACACATGCTCCTCTTGTCGTTTGAGGTCGCGCCTGAGATGCCGTGTCCGCCGTGAGGACCTCATACTGCAGACCGATGGACCTCAAACCTCATACCGCGAACTAGCAGAGAGCCGCCGCGGATGGTGACCGAAAAAAATGGGCCCCGATCTGCGCGTGCGCTCGAAAATTCGGGAAAATTCCTCTCGGTGACTGATCTAGAATCGCGAGCGTTAGAGCCGATAGCCGGACGAAGCTACCTCGGGCCTTCGCAGTTCGGAAGGCGTGGGACGGAAGTCAGCGCTGGCCCCACGCTTCTCTTGAATTTGCCTCCGGAATCTCGTTTCGAGATCGCCGATTGATCGGCGCGAAACCACCGACAAAAATCTCAGTCTCCTTCTCCTGGCAGCCCGTCATGTTCCAGTGAACATTCGAGGTTTCCTCTTAATGACGCTTATTGGCGCGTACGGGAATATCTTCGTCCTTCGGTATGTGGGCAACCCGAAACTTCCGCGAACCGATCCTCCTCGGCTCGCGGGTCACCGAATTCTCTCGTTCCGGCTTCGGGATCTCTTATTTGCCGTCTTCCGACAAGAAGCATTGCCAGATGCGTCACCTACCTTTCCGAGAACAGGTGGACTGCAGTCGCGGACGCTCTTTCCCACCTCCAATTATGTATCAGTGCCAATCTGCACTCAGTAACAAACCCTTTCCACTTGTTCTCCTCCTCGACATAAAATGGGGCGAAGCCGTTCGCAATTTCACACTTGTCCAGAGATTTTCTGACGCAAACATGAGAATCCTAAATCTCGAAGAACTTACCGAAGAGCTCTATCGAGTCTTCGAGAGTGACCATGTCAACATCGATGAAGTCAAGCAGCTCATGGCGAGCTACGGCGGCGGACCCTGTGAGTGGAGCAAGTACGCCAAATTCGAACCAGGCAAATACACCCGGAACCTCGTCGACGAAGGAAACGGAAAATTCAACCTGATGGTTCTTTGCTGGAGTGGAGACACCAAGAGCAGTATCCACGATCACGCAGACGCCCACTGCGTCATGCGTCTCCTCAGCGGGGAGTTGACCGAAGTTCGCTACGATTGGCCCCAAGGCCAGAAAATGCGTGTCATCGATGAGAAAATCATGCTGCCCGGAGATGTCGCCTACATCAACAACGACATCGGTCTGCACCGTGTCGAGAATCGTTTCCCAGAAGTGGCGGTGTCTCTTCATCTCTACAGCCCGCCGTTCCAGTCATGTTACATGTTCGATGAGAACACCGGAAATAGGGCCGTCTCCAAAGTTACCTTCTGGAGTCGTTATGGCGAATGTACTCCTGTGATCGAGAGTCGGGAACCCTGAGCGTTCCTCCAGCCCCCTGTATCATTCTGTATAGTATTCGTGGAGCCTATCTAACCATTTCACGACTGTGTATATTTCCGAGGAGGAACATACCTTACTCGGCAAGCTATGTGAATAAAGCCATATACCGATATGCATATCGACGCGCTGATTTATTTCACTCGATGAGCTGTGGAGGGTCGAGGTGGATGGTTCTAGATCTTTCAGATTCGAGCTCGAAACCGCTCGATTTGCTTTAGCGGCGGAGCGAGCGAGGGTTCAAACGGATCACTTCCTTCATAGTCATCCACGGGAAGGTGACCAATAAATGATTCCTCGAGTCCGGACGTCAAGTTTTTCATCGGGTAGTCGACGTTCGGAGAGTCATGAGCAGGTAGCTCTCTCTACAATCCGAATCCCGAGAAATCTCGCTTGGAGGGGAATCAGGAATAGGTTGCTATCGAACAATCTCGGTCTATCTACTCTGCTCGGAAGGAAGACACTGCTCTGAGATTTGCTCTCGGTGACGGAGTCTCGCTCGGCATCCGTCCTGAGATTGTGTTCATTCTCGTAAACTTGGAGTGGATCATCTCTTCCTGTTTACCGCTAATCTCCGCCGCGACATTTCCACGACAAGACTTTTACACGCTTCGTTTAGCGCCGTTCATGATACGTGTGACAGTCGGCTTCCGCCGATGTGATGAATAGCGTGTTTATCAAATTCGTTTTCTCTTGTATCGTCTCTCTTTCCCCCTTGAAATGCAACACCGGTTCTTGATATCGTGATAGCGGACGCGTTCCACGCAACTTCCAACAGGAGCTGCGTCGCCGAGCGACACCATTGCGAGCGTCGGAATCGAAGGTTCAAGCTCGTCCGTCAATCGTGGGCCACGTAATAAATCGCTTCCTTCCATCCGTTGAGGTCGTTCCACGGTCAGCGAAGCTCTAAATTCTCCTGCGATATCTGTTTTCTGATCGAGGTATTCTCCCCGGAGAGTTCCTGGGGACTTATTGTCAGAATCGATTTGATCAAGTCCAGGAACGGGTCTTTTCGCAGGGATAAACTGCGGGGAGTGGGAAGCTTGTGGCCACCACTCGACAGGTTTTCCTGGAAAAAGACGTCGTGGTCTGGCAGGAATCTCTTGGCGACGCTCCAGAGATGTGAAGATGTCTAGAGCCTGTTCCGATACAAGGTGTTCCCCCAAGGCTGCTGCGCTCATCGCTGCCGTCGCGAGAGATGCTTCTACGAACAAGCCACCCTGTCTGCAATAGTGAGCCATGTAGGAGCCCAACAGACAACAATGGGATGGCACCAGCCGCGAAGCAAAATCGCTTAGAATTAAGTTTCTAGAATCCGACCGGTGACTGTTTGAGATATGTTCATCGGCGATCGGCGGAGCGAATATATTCGGCTCCCTTTCAGCCCGGCCTGGAGATTCCAGGTCAATCATACCTCGAAGAGCGCTCGAACGGATCTGCAGCATCCCTGGGGGAGATGCGCCTTGGGACGGGACGATTGAGCGCCGGACGATTCGGCGCAAAGGTAGATTGGGAGCGCTGGATAGGGAGGATCTGGTCGCTTAGCGATCGGAGTGAAAAGATATTACGGTTGAAAATTAAGGATGGACTGGCGACGAAAAAGTCAGAGTGAAGTCGAATTTCGTGGTCCACTTTTCGCTGGAAACCTCGCAACTCCTAATGTTGTGAGCAGTGAGGGGCATCGGTGACATTTTAGTCTTGCTCGCAGCTCCCCTTTCTGAATGCATTAGCCTTGGGTGCTGGGATGCCTGGGATCAGTCTCTTCAGCATCGCATCTGCGTATCAATGGTTCCGCCAGAACTGGCCGACAAGAACTCTGCGGGAGCCGTGGCTTGAAGTCAATCCTTTGCGTTGTTTTGTTCCGATCGAGCTTCGTAATTCCCCACTTTCCTTTTCGATCGCTAAGCCCCATCGCTCTGATCTCCTATCCGAGCGAATCGAAGCGTAAGCTCGCCTACCAGGGACACATGTGTACTCAGGATAGGAAGAAATCGTCGGGCACCGTGCAATTTTGGCGCTGCGAGTTCAAGGATAAGTGCAAAGGTCGGTTGCACACAGCTGAAGGAACCGACGAAATTGTCGAAGTGATCGGGGAGCTCGGCGATGCGACTAATGTAGCATTTGTAGAGGTGGTTGCGAGTAACTTCGAACTCAGGCGTCGAGCACTCACAACGCAGGAGGCTCCCACCAAGCTGCTCAATAGTTTCACGGCAGGTTTAACAGTCACAGGTCAAGGATGCCTCCCGAATCTATAAAGAGGAGAATCAACAGGCTGCAGGGCCAAAGTTCTCAAGCGCCAGCGTGTCCAAATGACCGAGAGTCGATAGTCTTGCCCGAGGCCCACACTACGTACGGATGCAAGTCAGGGAGGTCAGAACAATTTCTCCTAAGCGATTCGGGCATCGGGGACGGAGAGCGCATCTTGGTTTCCGGCCGAGAAACAGCGTCTAGCTGGGTCGGCTATGTGCAGAGACTCTACGTGGATGGGACTTCTAGTTTAGCCCCGGATCAATTCGTGCAGGTTTTCGTCATCTTGGCTGACCGTGAAGGTATGCCATCCCGCTCTTATACGCCTTTCTCCCGAACAAATCGGAAAACTCGTACCGCCGCGTGATCGATCTCGTCATGGGAGCCTTCCCGTCGCTGAAGCGTGCGTCGATCGCCAGGGATTTCGAGATGGCGGTTATCAACGCTTTCATCGCGGCTCTTCACGGCCGAGGATCACGGCTGCTAATTCCAACTGGTCGAAAATGTGAGGAAAAAGTTATCGTTCTTTAATCTCCTGAAACGCTACAATGCAGATTCGAGTTTCTCGCTCTGGGTTCGAATGATTCCGGCGATGGCCTTTTTGATAGAAGACCTCCTTAGCAGAGCCATGATGGCTCTTCTGGAAGTCTTACAATTCACTTTCCGGCTCCGATATATGGTCGGTTCATGAAACGACTCTCAACGGTGAGAGCCGCACCAGCAATTTCGCCGAGGCTGATCATCGAAAACTCCAGGGGGCTTTCGGCGTCTGCCTTACTTCCATCTGGAAGTTCCTCGACGGTCTCCGGCATGTGCAGCTCGAGGCAGACGCCGAGCTCGACTGATACAATATAGGATCTGCGCCGGCACCCAAGAGACGCAAATATCTAAATACGGACGTCAAGTTGCTCGAGTTTGTTCGTACCATTGAGAATGAGAGCCGGTGGTTTTTCTTCGAGGGATCGCAAATAACTCCCTCATGGAGAACCAGAAAAATCTTGTGATTCTAGTAGTAGCAACAGAGTAGTTTCCACCGTTGCCCTCTCATCAATCATATGCGGAAAATACATAATGAGTAATGAGATGAACTGAAGCTTACGGGAGTCTCACTGGAAACCATACTCTCATCCGATGTGAGAACTTTCCTTCCTTGTGAGGAACATGATAAAATAAGGTCCGATGGTCTGACCTGGGATCCCCGTGTTTTCCTACATCCTTGATTAACGCCGAATAATCTTCGGCGTCGAATCATTCTTTGCGCCGAATCGTCCGGCGTCGGATCATCCTTTGCGCCGGATCGTCTCGCGCCGAATCGTCATGTGACGGATGCGCCTCTATACAGCCGGTCATCAAGTTGTACGGGAAAATGGAAATCAAAAGTGTTATGTTCGATTTGCCTATAGCGGCGATCCGGGGTCGGCCAGGATGAGAGTAGCCCTCCTCCGCAGCTGGATCGCTGATGACAATATGAACAAGAGCAACAAGAGAAAAACATTCATTCGATGGGCATGGTAATAAGGCTATCCATTCACGATCCACCCTCTCTCCTCCCTTTCGTAGTATCAGCGAGAAGAAATCATTCAGCTTGTTCCCGATCGGTGGCTCCCCATTAAGACACCGTCAGAGGAGCCAGGGAGGACCGAATCGGCAATTCCCCATGGACACCCATTCGGACCCGAACGGTTTTAGATTTCCATAGAGCTCTCGAATTTCACGAGAAATCTTCGAGGCGGGCGTATGGTTAAATTCCTGATCTCTGTTCTTGTCGAAGATTCGAGATGCTGCTCCGGCTGGACGGCTTCGTATTCGAGGAGCAAAGGAGCTCGAAAGCATCACGAGAGCACCTTAAACATGGACAGTGTTTCAAACAGCCTTCTTCGTAGAACAATATCAGCAAAGAGGCACGAGGAGAGGGCACTCTAGCTTGAGGAGGGTCGCATTGTACGCACTTAGATGCCAATATTCCTCGACAGCGATTTCCGATCCAAGCCGGTTCCTCGAAGGAGCGCTCCCACATCTATTGGCCTTCTCCTCGGAATTTTCAACCCCTCTCTCCAACCATTATCCAGATATGTGCCGATACACATACCTGGGAGTATCTAGAATAATCTTGAGGATGTTTCTAGGTTCAGGTCTGAGCCTCTGTTCCGATGACGAGGGCGGTGTTCGGCTTTTCCACGAGAAAAATCGTCTGGAAAAATCCATGCGCCGCCGTCCGATGAGAGTCAGATTTTTGCAAGACTCCAAGCAAGGGCTCAGATGCGCGTCTCGGATTAGCTTAGAGCTCTGGTATCGTCGAGGAAGCCCGGCTCCTGAGGATGAGATTGCCGTGGAGCTTGTTCTTTGATCAAGCTCGAGGGACACTGGCCTCCACACTCTACGGAAAATTCGTTGAATGGATCATCGTTCCCTCCGTTCCGTCGAAATGTTTGTGTTCTCGACCGTCGCCCCGGCGGATCACGCTGAATCTTACCCCGGTAGTGCTCGACAGCAGCTCATCCGCTACCAGACTCAGGGTACACGGAAATTTGGCGGGCTGGTACTCCAAGAGAATGTGTGCATCATACTTCCGAATCCACTCCGGAGATCGTTCGGTATTGCCGCTCGCTCGGCTGCAGCGGGCTGTCAGAGAGAGACTGCTCAAGGAGAATATCATCAACGGAAGAGAGCCGGCTCAGGACCTCACCGAACTGACAGAGTAGAGAGTGGGGGATTTTTAGTGAGGAACCATCCTTTCGATTTATTCAAGTATGTTTCTGATTCATCAAAATGCTATAGCTTCCCCAGTTTCGCGGGAAAATATTTCGAAAGTGCCCGATGAGGAATGTCCAAGCACAATAACCTGTCCCAAAAAAGACTCCGGGTCAAGAGGATCTGATTTGGTTCTCTTAGTGTGATAATCCACGGTGCACATCTCGATGGGGACGAATTCTGGCGGGCAGCAGAAAACTTCGGTCACGCTGCACCGCGCTTGCTCACCTGAAGAAAACTTTCGTAAATCCGCGGTAAATATCAGATGGGGCTACTGCAGGGGGAATGATATACGATGAAACCTTGTATAATATATTTTCGAGCTCATCCAAACCCACCGTAGTCAACTAGATGTACGATGCAGGTGTTGGGACTGGGTCTCCCCACAACTACGACACGAACCCAAGATTCACCATACTTCATGACACCGGGGTTTTTACTCAGCAAATCAGATGAGTAAAGAGGCTTCAAAGTTTCGGGTTCAATGAGACTGAGGGCTTCCTCAACGAGTTCCTGTCTATCGATCAAAACGACCGTCAAAGTAACGAGGCCTTCCGTTTCGAATAAGTTAACAATCTTGACGTCAACGAACTGGGATGACTGCGCAACTTCGCAGGTGTATAGGGGAAATGTACGTCGTTGTAACTTGCGCGGCACTGATTCAGAGCTTTTGGAGGTTGGACTCGTAACACCGTACCGGTCCTCGGGGACCGCGCATTGACTCGCGTCTATTCCGTAGGCGTCTCCTTTCTCCATCATCAGCTCGGGTTCTTGATACGGCATATCTCCCGTGGTCTCGGTCTGGGATTCCGGGAGGTATTCGTATGAGGCTGTGCAATATTCCACACTCCCTGAGAGCTCGCAGTGTTCCACTTGTTCTGGGGGCTCGCAAGCGACGATGTTCTCCGAGGCTTCGCACGCAACGATATTGTTCGGGGGCTCGCACGCCACGATTTCCCCCGAGTTAGAGTAAACAGTATCGGTTGGCGTGCCCTGGTACGCCGGAGCTTCGAAAGTGTACACGTTAATACCATGAACAGTACCTTGAGCGGCGATATTCTGCGCTCGGAAGCTCGTCATCAAGTCGATCGCGTACTGGGTCTCGTCCATGATGCAAAGCAGGGCGACAGGTGGGTAGAGGAGGAGTCTCTTGGGCAGTTTCATCACGACGCTGCTACTGCAATTCCTGAGGCTACCGACGTCGATTTGGTACACGCGGATCTCAGTTTCGGAGGTTTCGCAGACAACACTACGGTAGAACCTCTCGTCGATGTACGATATCACCAGATCCCCGACCTCGGGCTCGTTCAAAAAATCCGCATTGTGGTCGTCGAAAGCCTCTTCCAGTTTGCGTTCGATTTCTTTGAGCGATTTATTCCTCTCCAGAACGAGTGCTCCGTACGTTGTACCATTCAGGAATGGCTTATCCACCAGGTGGACTGTTTCTTCTGACCCAACGACCGGGGCCACAAGGTCGCTGACTTTGGAAACGGCGCGCGATGTCGTTCCCGAAGCCACTGTTTCACAAGCGTAAATGGGATAACCGCTGTCCCGGGTGACCGAGTGCAGCTCGAACCGATATTCTTTATTGTATTCGAGCGTCACCCCTTCGCCAGTGAAGCACTGGAACGAGAGCTGCGGCGTCTCGGATGCTGGTCCGAGGGGGAGCCTGTACAGACTCGACAAACTCACCGAATCCCATGAGCCGTAGTCCACATGATAAACTTCAGCGGAGTCGGCTGCGAGCTTGGTGACAAGGGCTCGACAGAAGACGTTCTCGAAGGGGACCACAACGAAGTCCCCCTGATGCACGACAGGCTTCATGTCCAAACTTATTTGGGCAAGCTGGTCGGCCATCGACTCAAAACCGAGACGATGCTGCACGCCGTAAATCGTGATATTGTCGGACTGGTTTACTGTAGCTCCCCGTACGACTCCAATCTCGATATCTTCGAGGTCTTCGGGGATCGGAAGCTCGACGACCTGCTGTTCGCAGTACTCAGTGCTGGTCGAGACGTCATCAACGGCGAGGAAAGCCTCTACCATCCTCGCGAGCTCATCGACGTAGTTTCCGATGTAGACGTCGTACTTGCCGGCGACGGCAAACTGGGATTTGTCCACTTTGAGCCGGACCGAGAACGCGGGTAGAGTCGCCAATCTCGAGGGTAGCTCTCGTACGTCGGCAAGGGGAACGTGCTCTGTGTATCCGTAATCCAAGTGGTCCACTTGAACGAAAGAGTTGTTGACGTCCAACACCAGCCCCCGACACCATTTCGGTTCAGATAGTTGCGAAAGCGCCAGAACATAATCTCCTCGTCTAGGGAAGAAGGGGGAGTTTTCAAAGGAGTTCTCCGTGAACTCGTGGATGGCGGTCTCTAGATCATGACGGGGAACGAGATCGATCCTTGTGAGTAGGGCGCCGATTGAATCCTGATCTTCGGATACAACCTGCAAGGTTTCCCTTGCTAGAAAGTCGGGATTGGCGACTGTATTGGCAACCGTCATCTGGAAGAGCAAATCAGATTTAAGCACTCGATGGCGTGAATCGAGATTTTTTCCGGAAAGGTTCCCCTGCTAGATCGCCCAGAAACTTGAGAATCTCTCGATGTTTGATGCAACGACAAATTCATTCCCGCTCCGCGCTAACCCCAAACATTCTCCGTCGGAGGATTCGGTGTGAGAAACTTCCAAGGAATCAGAGAGTCATCCCTCACTCCTCGGGCGGTACAGAGGTGCGAAAGTTTCGAGGCGGAATACCCCCGTGGAAGCCGAGAGAATGCGCCGTCAGGATGGCAGAGAAACTTTCTCAGTGGATGAACATACTTTTCCGTAATATCCCGAGTAATCACAGAGAAACCAGCATTAGGAGACGCACTTGAAATCACGAATCATCAACGACGCTTGTCGAACATCAATGTGCGAATGACATCATACATCATCGCTGCTTCTTAGAACCGTTACAACCTAGCTCGCCGTTCTCTTGGACCGTTATTGCTGACGCTCGATATCAGATTTATCGGAGCGCGTAAACAAAGACGAGGCGAGCTCAAATTCTACGCGCCAACGAAGCGCGCATTTTCCTCACGTGTTTCATCGTGCGCGGCATCCGGAATCAAAACAAGCAGCGAAGGAATCGTGCCTCGGCTGTATCGTTCCAGTCCAGGATATTCAAACGGAGGGAGCTCTACCCGCGCGAAACTTCCCCAAGGCTTTCATCCTGCGAACCACAATGAACTTGAGCCGGGAACATATTAGAATACCGACCTTGAGTAGAAGTTGTGGTTCCGGAAGACGCACACCGAGTTGTCCTGGCCCTTGAGAATCCTTGTGAGAATCAATTCGAGGCAGGGTTTGAGCAATGCCAAAGGCTAAAACTACTGAGCGCGGATCCTTCCAAGTGTCCAAGTGTTGCGTTGTTTGTGCGAAGTGTGGGGAGAGGGCGATGTGGATATTCCTTCTACCCTTCGTCTTCCGAAGGCAGAGAATGTCCATAGGTACATTGGCGGGGTGAACATGGCAAAAGGTCTCCGGTTTAAAAAAATTCCTCTCTCGTCCGCTTGCCTTCGAGCACCTCTTCGGTTTTTCCCCGGCAAGGAAAAGTTAATGCCGACAGGGCTACGAGTGAGCATGAGTGCTCCAGTCGGAACTGGCTCGGAGAAGGAGAGAGAAAATGATTCATTTCGCCAAGGCATTTGAAGGAGAGACCTGACCTTCCGAAGGCAGAGAATGTCCATAGGTACATTAGCAGAGAAAAGTTAAAAAGGAAAGGTTAATGCCGACAGGGCTACTTGAGAGCATGAGTGCGAGTGGTCCAATCGGAACTGTCTCGGAGAAGGGGAGAGACAATGATTCACTTCGCCGAGGCATTTGATCGAGAGACCTGACATTAAAATCGGAGCTCGAACGGGTTGGGAGATCCTTGACTGCATCAGAGACTGGAGCATTCGAGCCGACCGATGAAGTTCCCTGGAGGGGTGTCGTCATCAAACGCTCGAATGTGTCTCCTTATCGGATTCCGAAAAATCCCCCGTGTAGGGAATTTAATGGTGAAAGAAGGAAGAAATCGCTCGAGATCATTTTTCCTCTCCCGACGAGAGTATAAAATTTATTTTTTTCCTCGTCTTGTGCATTGATTGATAGGAACAGTTTCGGAGTCATATGACTCCGGTTATGGATAATCACATGGTTTCTCGGTGAGATCATGGATTCTCACCAGAAACCCGCTGACGGACGGCTCAGTCTTCATCCTCTTCAAAATCGACATAAGCTAACCTACGTGGCTTGCAGGGTTTGCAGACAGTTCGTGTGCTGTATGTTTCAGCCGCCTGGCAGTCGCATACCAGACACTGCTCCTGCTGGGAGACGTTCTCAGCGATTCGTTTGGAAAATACGATTTTCCACGCTCTTTGCTCATTTTTCTGCGACGGCGCTGTGAACCAACTTCCGGACGACTCGAGCGCCATCAGGACGCAAACGTTCTTGGGCGCTCTGATTTGTGATTTTAAATCCAACGATCCCATCAAGGGGTTCTGGTTAACGTCTCTAGCGGTATAGGCGACGTCAGTATCGAGACCGAGAATCTGAGGGCTCCTTTTCGAAACATGCCCCCGTGATTTCACACTGTCTCGGCTCACGAGATGTAGGAAGATGCCGCGCTCTAGTAACGCGGTTCGCAAGTCGATGTAATCGGGGGCAGTTTTGTCCATCACCGAGCATTTATGGCAGCTGAAGAGGACGATGACTTTCGTTGCGGTAGGTCGGAATCGATATTGGGTCATTGCAGCATGAACGGCGAGGAAAATGTCTCCGGGCTCGTTCGACGTCATCGCCATGCCCTCCAGGGCTAAGTGCAAGTCTCTAGCCGGGAACATGAGTCGACCTTTAGCGCTCCGCAAGTGCGCGTCGTGCAGTTCGCCTTCTCCTCCGAAACCGACGAGCCCGTACCTGAAATTTCCAACATGTATTTCTCTCCCAGTTTTCTCTTTCTCTTAGTCAGGGACCTGTTGTGGTCCTTCTGGACGTCCGACCGAGATTCCGGCGACCATGCCCGGCTCGAAGTGAACTCCTCGGTGCCATTGGCGTGCCCATGCAATCCCGTGGGCGGGATACCTCCATTCAGCTCTCATTCCGAGAAAGAGCGGATTCATCTAGAGTGCTCCATGGGTACGCGAGATTTCATGCCAGGTTGCATTCGTGGTCAAGATGACTCAAATCATCGTGCCTGACGATGCGTGCCGTCGTCGCAGAAATGATTCTCCATCGGAAGGATATCAGAGACCGAGGAGACGAAAAGAAAGTTTCGCCGTGCACATGGCGGATGCATTCGGAACAGGCAGAAACGTGCAATGTGAACATGGAAAGTACCTATTGTGGCGGACGTTTTTAGCTGCGAGCTCTTTGTCGATAGACTTGACGAGGGCATGAATGTTGCCGCTGAAGTTCGCATTACATTCGTTGTCCTGCACCGCGAAGATCACGTCTGCAGTATCACCGGTTTCGAAGTGTCCATAAGTTCGATTGCCGATCGCAGCATTGGGCGCAAGCGGCAACTCGCAGGTCACTGGAAGTTTCCTATTCGGGTTACTAAGTATATCGCCTACCAACATAGTCATATTCGCTCGGAGAGAAATCCCAGAGTGGATCCGGGAGGGAAGAATAGACAGAATCGCGAAAATTATGAATGCGTTTCTCCTAATCGGTCGAGTCGATTCATACGCAACCTGCTTGGTATGCTGCACTGAAGACACCGATCAGGTACAGAAACGAAAATTTTTATTGACACACAAAGTTTCGATTGAGAATATTAACACATTTCGCGAGAAATTTATGCGGAAACGCACTCTTGATTCTAATAAATTCCGAAACCATACTCACGGCATTCGTCGGGTAGCCGGGCTCCTAGGTATGATGGGATTTTGGCGTATCGCTCAATGTCCTTGAAGTAAGCGTAGGCGACTTGGCAGCTAGAGTGGATTTTGTTCTCGACAGCTTGTGCGGCGCGGAGACACAGATCGTGGTATTCGTCGGCGCTGCGAACCATGAAACCGAGAGAGAGCGTCGAAAGCTCATTCTTGAAGATCTTGTCGCAGAATTCAACGGCTTCGACCTCTTCGGTTCTGTCCCTGAACAAAACGAGGTCAGCGTCGCAGGACTCGGTTTCCCAGGAATCTAGGAAATCATCCTCGTTGGTGACAACGGCTCCCGTCGGGGTTTTGAAGTCGTCACTGGGCTCGCGGTTGTAGTTTCCGAGCAGACCGGCGGTCTTTCCGAAGTACCAGATACGGGTGTCGATGGTTGCGACACCGTTGCTGAGGTTCAGGACGAATTTGACGTCACCGTTGCTGATCCTGACCATGTCGAGCATTCTCAGAACACTGATGTTGTCCATCATCATCGGAGCGCTGATCGGCTTTCCGTTGAGGGTGATTTCCAGGCTGGAATGCTTGCGGACTTCAATGCGTGTGTCTCCGAATTGCAGCACGTACGATGGCACGTCACCGTTGTTGTTCAGAACGATGCTGAAGGTGCCGTTGACGAAGTCGCGAGCCAGCAGGTAGGAGCACGAGCCCTTGACGGAGAAATGCTTCCCATCGAAAGTTATGAAGTGCTTCCCGTCGATAACGGTCGCTTGACCATCGTACGCCTTGGAAAGGCTCTTCCGAACCATCTCCATCGTGGAGCAGAGGTCGTACGTCTCGTACCCGTGCTGACGTTCTGGTTGGGGTTCCTCGGTTCCGTACGCCCAGTACTGGACGAGTTTCGAAGCGTCGACGGGTACGTCGACATCAGCGACGAATCGGCCAGCCTTGCGGTCGACTTCCAGGACGGGTACTCGGGGAGTGTATCTGTCGAGACGAGGTGCGATCACGTACTTGAAGAGAGCCTCCTTCGGGACAAGATGACCTGCAGTGCTCTGGAATTCAAAAAGCAAATCTCCGTTAGGAGGGAATCGCATCAATGATCTCCTGCCAATGGTCTCGATTGGCGATGAATATCCCCGTCGGGGATTGCGTGACAAATACAGAACGAAAAAAAAAACAGAAATCCACACTCACGGAGTCGTAAAGCTCTGCCCAAGTTTCAGCGATCTGCTTGACGTCGGGAACGGCGAGGAATTTCCTTCTGAGTGCTTCGATCCTCACGTGAACCCCATTCGAGACGGTCGTGACCACGTCGGCAATCCTGTTGTAGGCGCGGACCATGAGCTTGACCGGTGGAGTGTTGATGAGCCACTCCTCGAACATTTCAATTCGGACGAGAACGTATGCGACAAAGTTGATCGACTCCTCCTTAACTGAGCGACGAGCACGTTTCGGGAGGAATTCCGCCATGGACGCTTCGAGACGCTCAGCCAGCGCGGGACAGCATTTCCTCACCATCTCGAGGAACTTCTGCATGAGCTGTCCGATCCTTTCGCGGTTGGCCTCGAATCGAGCCTTCAGCCTCTGTCCGACGGTGGTGTTGTTGATCAGACGAGTCAGCGATCCTTGGATCTCGACGAAGATCTGCGAGATTTTCGTGAGGAGGTACTCGGGCACATCCTCGAAAGTTTTCCTCAGTCTGAAAGCGAGAGCGTCGGTGCGGGTCTTGAGTTCCTCCTTCATGTCCTCGATCGGGTATTTTCCAGCTCGCGTGGCCGCGATCTCCTTGGCACGCTCGGCGACGCGCTTTAGGTACTCCGGAGGTGCGTACACTCGGCTGTGGAAGGAAGTCTCGCTCGATCGGCTGTGTTCGATTCCGAGGTCGGTGGTTCGTTTGCCCTCAGGGAAACTGGACAGGACCAGCTTGTAACGGCCCTTCTCCTTTCGACCTCCGTCGACTTCGAGCTCGCGACCGGTGGTGCCATCGCTGTTCAGGACGACGGCCTTCATGTAGAGCTTGGCGAGGTTGTAGGAGATCTTGCCCTTGGTTTCGACATCGTTCTTGAGATGCACGATTTCGGCTTCCTTGTCACCGTCGTCGTTGACGACCTTTGCCTCTCCGGTGATTTTGAAGTTGTCCTGGTAGGGCGATGTGAACTCGATGGATCCCTTGAGGTCCTCTCCAAGGAAAGCCTTCATCGTCCCGACGCGAGTCTCCTTCTTGGCTGTCACGTACGACCAGTAATATCCTGCGAAAACGGGTTTCTGCAGATCAATGCTTCGGTACATGGTCACGTGAAGGTCGAAGTCCGACTTGTCCTTCTTGTGGACGTGGATATGGATGGATTTGTTGCGAGCGATCTCATCGTTGAGCCTGCGTTCGTAGTGGAGGAAAATGGTGTCTTCCGGTCGGAAGAACTCAACCTCGCTCTCCAGACGGTACAGCGAGTTGGCATCCTTTCCTCGGCTGATCTCCGATTTCACGACGATGGGCTGTGGGAATATGGATAACAATTAATGCATTTAACAAAGGGAATCTCACGCTCGATAATTCACCAAAACAGTCTACCCCTCGAGGTGCAACACTCCCCCCCTTGATAATGGGAAACATTCGATTTTCTTACCGTGCGCATCTTGGGGTGGCTCAGCTTGAGCACACTGTTGAAACCCTTGTCGTTGTAGTCGCGACGGTACGAGGCTTCGAGTTTCTCCTCGCTCTTGGCGTCGAGGGCTGCGCTGTACTTGATGTCGACGAACTTGTCGGTGTTTTCACGACGACGGGTCGCGAGCATCTCCCTATCGACAACGTAGCCCCGGAGGGTCTGTTCCGACACCTGCTCGGTGGAGTGGTCGCAGTTGTAGTCGAAGCCGAGTTTGAACTCGTTGACGTTTCCAACGAGTCGTACATGGGCCTTGTGGACATCCTGGGGAATGTGCATCTGGCTGTCGATCTCGAGGGTCACGTCGGGCTTTCGGTGGATCTTGACGTTCAGAGCGTTGTTACGGAAAACGTTGAAGTTCGCAACGTTCCTCTTGACGGTCACGCTCACGCAGTCCGTCTCGAGAGGGGTACGGCAAGCGTTAACCGAGGTGATCTTGAAACCATCGGCACGCTGAGTCTCGGCGTCGGCCCTCAACTCCTTACCGTTACGTTTGACGTTCAGTTTGTAGGTGCGGTGGTTGTTGCCTGGAAGGGTGTTCTTCTCGAACGCTACCTCGGTATCGCCACCGAGGATACCGCCGTGATATTTCCCGCTGTAGAGCATCTTGTCTCCGGTGTTCTCAAAATCGACATCGGCGGTGTACCAGACGGCTCCGTTCTTGTTGATCAGCATGTTCGAGTTGAACTTGCTGGAGGTTCCCTTCATTTTCATGCTTCCGTCGTAGGCCGGAGTGAACTCCGACGCGAGCTTGAAGTTCATTTCTCTCGAGGCGTCGTCCTTCTTCATGTGGACCTCGAGGTCGAAGATCTTGTTCGTCTCTCGCTCCACGTCCAGCATGAACATGCGCTCGGCGGCATCGGCCAAGTTGTACTTCAGATGGGCCTTGCCCTCCTTGAGCTTCTCGTAGTCGGACTTGATGGAAATTTCCACGTCGAGAACCATCGGTCCAGGACGGGTACCCTTGACCACGAAGTGGTAGTTCTTCTGGCGAGACGACAGGTAGTGGACGGTCAGGTCGAGTTTGCCGTCGACCAGGGTTCCCTTGGCGGTCAACTCTTGCGTTTTGTAGTCTTCGTACGGCAAGTTCATGGTGATCTTGCAGTCGATGATACCCTTGCTGTAGTCGGTCTTCCTGTCCACCAGGAGACTGTAGACTTTACCGTCACGGTCGAGGTCGATCTTCAGTGTTCGAGCCACGAGGTCTCGGGTGATATCCAGCTTCCTGTTGATCATTCCGGTGCTGGAGAGGTAGTAATGCCTCTTCTCGCTGGTGAATTTGTGGCCAAGCTTACCATCGATCCAGACCTTGCCACCTTTGGTGTATTTCAGGTAGCCCTCTCCTTCGGGGGTGCTGTGCACGTGACCGACGATGAGCTCTCGGGCTTCAATGTTGGCTCCGCTCAGACGGAACTCGGCGCGGTTCGGGCCCTTGATGAAACCCTTGACGTAGACTCCCTTGTATTCGAAGTCCACGAATTGGGAAACGGTGACCTTGGCGTGGGTCTTGACTCCGTCTTCACGGTCGGTCTTCATGTCGATCGATAGTTTCTTGCTCGGGTTAGCGACGGCATCCCAGAGGAAATTGACGGCCAGCTCGTGGGATTTCTCTGCGAAAATTCGAACGTCCATTCAGATCAATCGTCGAGACGATCAGATGCCGTCCGCAATGCTTCTCGGTGTGCGTATCGAATTTGACTCAGTTTCTATGATAAATTATCATCGATGGCTGACTAGAAATCTCGATTCTAGGAGCACGGCCCGAGTTCTCCTTAAGGTTTGGCATTCATGCTACATAGATATAAGCCCCTGAGTCGGGAAATTTTTTTTTGGTGACCCAGTGAGACTAGAGCACCCATTCTCGACATCGGAGTTAACGGGAGGCGTACGCGTAGAGTTGCTATTTCAGAATGAATAGAAACTCTACTAATTATCTCATTAGAGAGTCAATCTTATACTCACTTCCAGGGGAATCCTTGTGGATGGTAAGGCTGATTGGCCTGGTGTAGTAGACCTTGCTGTGGACGTCGAGCTTGACATCGAGCGCCTTGTCCTTGACGCTGCGGGAGTACTTGACCTGGAGTCTCTGCCCGACGAAGTTGAAGGCGACATCCTTGTCTTGTCTCTTGATCTCGAAAACGAGGTACTCCTTCCCGTCGATGAGGGTTTCGGTCTTGAGCTCAACGTCTCGAGCGATTCGCACCAACTGACGGTGTTGGATCGGCTTCATGTTGGGAGCGCGGATGTTCAGCTTGACGTCGTGGTTTCCGTTGGCCATGAGCTCAGTGGTGTAGTCGATCGAGAGCTTCTTACCCTCGAGACCCCATCCGAGTTCGCAGGTTCCTTTGTACTTTCCCTTCGAGACCTCCTCAGAATCATCTGAGAGCCTCAGAGACGTGTACGGAGCGATCAGAGAAGCTCTCACGGTGGTTTTCTTGCTGTGACGATCGAAAGTGTAGTCGAACTTGACCAGAGTCTTCTTGTCCGATGCAACGAAGAGCTCCGAAGTGATACGCGGCGTTTTCTCGAGGTCGATCTTGTTGTCGAAGTTAACGTCGTAGTCGAGACCCAGGGCGGGTGAGTAAACCTGGCCACGGAGCTGGAGGGTTGTCATGCGACCGTAGCCGAAGGATCCCTTCTGCTTCGACTCGGTAGCGATCCGGATTGTCTTGTCGTCGTCGGTGAACTTCTCGCCCCACCAGGCCTGGATCTTGTGCTTACGGCTCTCATCCTCGATCTGACGATCGTACGCGAGTTTGTTGTTGTACTGCGGGTGGCAGGTAGAAGTCCACGTGGACAAGGCCGAACTGTGGACGACGTTATCGTTGTAATCTTCGCGGAGTTTCAGTTCGTAGTGGAATTTCTGGGTCTTTTTATCGCCGATCTTGTAGGTGGTGTGCATGACCCCGTGCCACTTCGCGGTCCGCCTATCCTTCTCTTCGTGCATCGACAACCTGCTCGAGGCGTCGAGATCTCCGACGGAAATCGTGGCGTTTAGGCTCGTTTGGCCGACGTTGACGGTGATGTTGAGAGGATTCGATTGAGGGTAGTTGCTGAGAATTTCGGTCTTCTGATTGACGTTCTTGATTGCCAGGGTGAGCGGCTCTCGTAGATGAGGGCAGCTGAACTCGAGTCCGAGCTCGTTGCTGATGAAAATGGCCCCGAGTCCGTATCGAATGCGAATGGCGTACTCATCGGCCTTCTCGGTCTCTTTGTCGACGATCCTGAAGACGACGAAATCCTCGGACTCGGTGCTGATGCCGAAATGGAAAGTCTTTCGCGGGCATTGACCCCACACGGTGACGCTGGAATCGGTCGATTTGTAGTGGAACTCGGAACGTCTGTCAACAGTCGAGCCGGGCGTGTCGAAAACGAAGCTGAAGCTGTTCCGCGAGTACAGGTAGCTGAACTCAACGCCCTCCATGTTCGTGTCGGTCTTCTGGAGGGTCAGTGCGAAGTTGAACGGCTTGACGAAACCGCGGCCGGCCATGTACCAGGGTTTGGGAACGGTACCGGAAATGCAAGCCGACATTCCGAAGATTTCGGGCAGCTGCATGGTGCATCCGTCGAGGTTTCGGACAGCCTTGGCGGTGATCGGGGTTTCATAATCGCCTTGAACGGCGAAAACCTCGGACTTGGCATTCAGGATTTCGAGCTTCTCGCGGGGGGTGTTGAAACGGAACTTGAACTCTCCTTCACGTCGGGTGATTTCGACATCGACAACCGACGAAGTGTGGATCGTCGACGCGAATCGAGCTCCGTGACGGAAAACTCCGGCGCTCAGAGTGAGCGATCCGTCGACTTGGACGACTGCGCTCGGCTCGAGGGAAGCCTTCATGAAACCGGCCTCGTTCGACGCCGGAGCGGAAGCCTTGAGCACGGTGTTGGTCACGGCGCGCATCTCGAGCACCAGACCCAGACCGGTGATCGTCGCCGTGCTGACGCTCTTGTCGACCAGGAGCGCGTTCTTGGCGATATCGATCTGGCCTTCGAGAACGATGTTGTTCAGGAGCGCTGACGGATGGAGTGAGTATACCTTGACGACGGACATGAGCATCTGCGAAGTGAGCTCCTTGACCGAGTTGTACTCGACGAAATCGATTTCGTTGCCGTAGATGTTGACGTAGAACGACATCTTCTCGTCGGTAGCGATTTCGTTCTTGAAGTCGTTGTCGAATCGTTCGACGTCAGTGGAATCCCTGGAGGCCCGACGGGATGGACGAGCGCTGTTGCGTCCGACGAGTTGCTCAACGATTTTCTCGAGACCCTCAACGCGGCCTCCGATCTGAGGAGTTTAGTTGGAAATTATTCAAATCGATTTCTTAAAATTTCTAGGATCTCAAGTCGTTCCGGAGTGATACATAGGTACCTATGTACTCCGAGAGCATACCTCGAGAAGGTTGACGTTCTGCGAGAAGAGATCGAGGGAAAGATTCAGGCTAGCCGACCTCGGGAGGAACGACTTCGGGCTGAAGACGATGGAAGCATCAGCGACGCCACCGATGTTGACGGAATCGTAGAACTTCGAATATTCGTAGTTCTGGGAGAACTTGCTCGGATCCTGAGAGAATTTCGCGGAGACGGGGAAGGTCGAGATGAGACGTTTCAGCTCTGCCTTCAGAGGACACTCAGACTCGTGGATCACTCTCAAGTGAGAGTAAACGAAAGATCCCACTGAAAAATTCCATCAGTCGTATTAGAAGTCGGCCTTGAAGATTGCCTCCCACTCGAATCTCGCGAGCTCGACCCGCTTGCCTCTCCGTATCCCGTGGTGTCAAGCCGAATCCCTTGCGTCGATCGGCTCGGGAAGCCCAGCTATAATTTTTCGGGTGAGCACCAGTGATATAACCTATGGTTTAGGCTGTAAATTTTTCGCGGTGAAATTCACGGCATCTTGCGGCCTCAATCGTATCTTCATGGAGACTCGAGAAGACATGCCGCGAAAAGTCGCGAAAAAATCGCGGTCCGCGAATAATTTACAACCTACCCATTGGGATAAAAGAAAGATGGCGAACGCTGTACCTTGGACGACCTTCTCGGTCTCGTAGACGCTGACGATTTTCGCTACGGTGTCGAAGTCCGCGCATCGCATGGCGTTCAAGTAGGCGCCGATCCTCACTTCAACGTCCTCACTCTGATCGGCGTAGAGATTCACCATCTGCTGAGTGACTTCTGAGTCGCAGACCTTTCGGAAAGCTCTGAGAGTGTACGTGCGGATATCCGTGGGCTTGTCGTTCATGCACTGCATGATCTTGTTGTGGTAGCCTCCGGTGACACCCAAGTTTCCGAGGGCCTTCAGGGTGGCGACGATGATGGCTCGATCGCCGGAGCAATCGTTGTCGAGTTTCTTCACGAGAACGGACAGCAGTTGTTTGATGGCAGCCGTCTGATCGCATTCCTCGTATTGCGTCTTGCAGAAGGTGTGAGCCATCGCGGAGACGGGCAGGAGGATGGATTTCGCTGACTCAGGACCAGCCGATTGCACGACCGGAATCATGGCCTGCACCATATCTTGAGTGGGATTCGAAATGTAAGCCAATGACTTGAGCCATTTCTGGTGGTGTTCCTTGTGTTCGCCGTTCTGGATGAATTTCGCGATCATTTCGATCGATCCGGTGCTTCCAGCCATGCCGAGAACGTCCAAGAAAGCGGTCTTCAGCTTCTTGGTGTCGCAAGGCTTGTTTTCGATCGACTCGTAGACCTCAGCGATCTTGGCGTACGGAGCGGACCGCATCGATTTGATGAGGTCGCCGAACAGTTTTCCGGACTCGGGACGGACATCGGGTTGCATCGAGTCACAGTAACGGTCGATCGCGGAGACCAGAGACTCGCGAAGATGGTCGCGCTCGAATTCGTGATCGAAGACGAGACACGAGCGACGGTACGTGGCGGATCGGACGTTCTGAGCTCCATCTTCCTCGCGGACGAGTTCGAGAGAAGCTTCCGAAGTCACGACCGAAATGACACCTGGAGTGGCTGAGGATTGTTCGGACAAGTAGAGTTTTTCCGTCTGTTGGCAGGTAGCCTCCTTGAGGACTCCGGTCGACTTGTTGATGATGTTCCTGCAGATGTAGTTTCCAGACGCGACTGGCGCAGTGCGGATGTCCTGCGAGAAGGGAAAGTAACATTGAGGAAAAAAAGAAAAAATGAGTGAACGAACGGAAGTAGAACCGATAGAGCCGGAGCCCGAGCCCTTGTCCGAAGATAGACGTAGGGCCCCCGCCAACGCCTACGAGATTACCCCCGTTATTTGGGCATCATCGGGGCATGCCGTATATTAAATGAACGAGCCGTTTATCCGACGATAAGGCTTCGATGTGAGTGTAATCCCCTGACGAGAGTGAAAGCGATCCCACCCGTAAACGCTATCGAGGCGAGGCGTGATTCGTGGCAATGAGCCATCGACGGTGCGCCGTCATCTGCATAGTCACCGTCCATAATGCACCGAGGAGCTCGATTCCTCATTCTGTAGCGGCCAATGAGACAGCTCACATCTCTGTGAACTTTCGAAATTATCGGTATCTTCCTTCCGAGAGTTTGATTTTTAAATCGAACGACAAGAATCGATCGCTTGACATCGATCGTCTCGCTGAGGACGTTCCTCTCAGCTGGACGCCTTCCGCGTCTCTTGGAGGTGTGGATCCGGTGTGCTCTCAAGCTTCTCTCTTGAAATACTCGACGATAAGGAGGCTTGGATGCTCTCGTTCGTCTTTCCGAACTGTCAATAAGTCAGTCCAAGAGTCAAGTTCTCGACGAACCGTATCGAGCGGTCTTGAATCGATCAACTCGAATAATCACTGAGGATGATTCAAAGGAAGATTCGAGCGCAAGCCGACACTTGACGGTAGGATTTTCAAGGACTGTTCCGAGAGAGATTCGATAATCGTAACAACTATATCGGCCCCGAGGGCAAATAGTCGACTTGAGACCACGGCACTCAGACTGCAACCGCCTTCAGTGCGCTTCCTTCCATTCGACGATTTTTCGCGATTGAAGAAAATACATCTGACCCATTTTTTGTCGCTAGGGAGCATGGTCGAGAGAGCACCGACAGTATATGCGTACGGTATAACCTATACGGAGCCCTCGATTATATACGGAGCCAGACGGGGAGAAAAATTGGAATCTCAGGGTGGGTCCTCCGTGCAGAATCCTCTGGAATCATGATCCCCCCTGAGAAGACCGTCGATATATCGCCAAACGCCGTCCATATCCTCATGAGTGCTTCTCCGACGGACTGAGGCGTCAACACGAATTTCGAAGGCCATCGCCGAAGCCTCCGAGCGACGCGGGTGGAGAGAAGTTGTTTTGTGGAAACTTGTCATCTCCACAAAACACTATCCGACACAATTTGGAGCAGTCTAGCGCTGAGGAAAACTTCGAATTGGGTCGATATCGGAGAGCAAGTCAGTGAGCGGAGACACGGGAAACGAAGTCTCCAAAGCCGAGACTTGAAAAAATGCACCAAATGCGTTTCGCTTCCTGTGACGCTATGCGCCGCTGGGCCGCGAACAAGAGAGGCCGAAGAAGAGGAAAAACACGAGGGTCGACTCCGAATTCGGCTCAGACGCGGGTCGGTCGGGACGAGGAGAAAAAGTCTTTCATGAGCTCGTGAGAGTGCAAATGGCCGACTTCCTGCCTGACGAGAGGAATCAGGAGAAGACGGACTCGAAGAGATGACAACGATGCTGCGACATCGGTTTCATCATCGCGAGCGCTCCACTCGCCCATTGAGTCATCGTCGCCGTCGTCGTCAGTCGTTCTATTTTATCATCAGAGCTTTTATCACAACGAACGATCTCCGTTGCGGCTGTACTGATTGTTTGCGCTACCGTTGGCGACGGTGACGCTCTCGGCTACGGGCGGCGCGCAACAGGGAATCGTTCCGCCTAATCCGATCGCAAAATAAAACGCGATGACAAGGAGTAAATATTTAGCGCTCTCACTCAGTCGAAAAAATTCCGCTCCGAGTCGTCGCCAGAGGCCCCGAAAAATCACCACGTCCGAGATCGGTGAGCCGTGTGGATCAAGACGGCTCAGAAACCTGGTTTTTCGAATTAACGGTGAAAGAATCCGCTGTCAGGCTCCAGATCCACTCGAGGCTGGGGACAGCGTTCCGGGGAGCGCACGTCCCGACGCTTGGAGCTGCCGAACATGGTTTTCGATGACCTCCGCCTCGCTCAGGGCGAAAAAACGAAAAATACGTCCCCACGGCATCCCGTCCTCGAACCCTTCTCATCAAAAAAACTCACCGATTGAGGAGCGTCGTAGGCGGTGAAGAAGATGCTCTTTGTGCTCAGGGTGCGAGCCTCGCACGACAACAGATTCTTCGTCTTGCGGATGACGACCTCGTCTCCGGAAGCTTCTACCGGCTCGTAGTTTGTTTTGCAGATGCCGAGGACGTCTTTCTCGTCGGAATCGACTGAGCTCTCAAGAGCCGTCGAGGGCGTCTGAAGCATCGATACGATGGCTCGCTTCACGTTCAGGGCCCAGACAGGCTCGGCGGGGTTGTGTTTGAGCTCCTTGATTTCACCGTTGTCCATGCGAACCTGTGGGTTTTAAGCAGAGCCAAGGTTAGCCATGTGCCTGGGTTATCGTCCCATAGATTGCGACTCGTCGAGCTATAGACGCTCATGCCGCTTTATGGCATGCCGATCGTCCAGAAATCGATTTCCCAAACTCCGAACGTCCAATCCTAAACCTCGGGAAGCGAGTCCTCTGAGCAGATGATCGACACGCGGTATGAAGGGCAGATGGTCGACTTTACCTCAATGACGTGGTTCTGGAGCGAGTGCACGAACTTTTGGTGGGGCGATTCGACGTTCCTCAACTGAACGCCGAGAACACATTCTCGGGGAACCGAAACGACCACATCGGCAGAGAAATGCACTTCCTGGTTCACGTCTTCATTTTCAATTTTGCTAACTCCTGCGTATTTGTACACGAAGGTTTTGCCGACCGGCAATCCCTTGCCACACTCGGGCTCATCCTTCAACGGGAGTATACCTGAAGAAGCGAAACCATCATCAGTTGTCGTCGCCGTCGTAATCCCAGTTGCAGACTCCGTCTCCCGCTTGCACAGAACTCGCTCGCACACAGCACCGCTCGTCTCCTACATACATACCAGCAAAAGATCCTCCGACGATGAAGAGTAGGCAAAAGCCCACCCCTACTGAAATTGGAGGTCCCATATTGGTCGCACACGGAATACCGTAAGGCGCGCGCCTTTTGTACCAGTGCTTCCCTTACCCGGTCGGCTGCCGGCCGGGCGGTCGCCCATCCAGCCGCCAGGCGGGTAGGCAAGGAGCCAGTCAGTCTCTCATATCTAGCTCTCAAGTATCTTCTGATTGTCGCTTGTTGTGTCAATATTCAGCGGGACAGCAGCCGCAGCTAGAAAACGATATCGAAGAAAGAGGAGAAAAATCCACGCTCACGGCAACTCGTGAGCTCGCCGGTTTTGTTTCCTGCTCGCTAGCCTGCGCTCGCCTGCTCGAAGTCACACCTGGAAAGATTCTCGTTAATTCCTCTGCATGACCGTCTTCCCGCTCCATTGGCGGAGTATGCACGATTACAGCGAGTATTATCTCGTGCTGCGACTTTCGCTGGAACTGTTTTCCCTCAAGAGAATTATCTCGCCGTCGACGGAGATTGCAGCAGTGCGGCCCGTGGACTTCAAAGGAACTCTCTTGAAGAAGTTGGAATTTTTCCATCGATCGTCTCACGTGATTATCACGGTCAGAGGACAATCGTACAAATCGCGCTGTGCGGGGATCGCGGACACGCATTGCGTTCTTCCTTACTGGCATTTGGGCAAGAATAAAATGCGAGACTCGAATCGATTGGAAGCGCTCCCACAGATCCGGACTCGGGACGTGCGATCGGCGATTTCAGGGTTGCGTTCCGACATCTGGCGGACGCTTCTAGAGGTCGAGTACTCGGTGAGGGCTTTCGGATTCGCACATCTGGCTGCAGAATATCCACCCGAGTACGGCGGCCATCGCCACCGGATCAGCGAGTCAAAGCCGCTGCTTCTCGAAAGACAGCAGTTGTTCTCGGAGGAAACAATTGTCAGACACAGAGTATTAGACCAATGTCTGCGACGATGCACTTCTAGCGCGATCGACTGATCTCGAGAGCCGGCGACCGAACGACCGCAGCCAATCGTCACGCTCTCATCTCCGACTGAGAATCCTTGTTTGCATCGAAATTGATCCGGAGCGCTCAAGAACGCTCCAATCCGACTGATGTGTGCCCTACCCGGAGACGGCGTCAATCGCTGTCTCCTTTTCGAATTATCATCTCGGTGACCCCTCGAAATCCGGAAAGGGGAGAGGAGCCATTCGATGAGAGGAGTTCCTGAGTCTTCGAAGGCTCGGAGACTCCGATTCGAAAATTCGGCACCAAGATCTTGAGTTGGAAGGTCTCAGGAGGATCGAGGTACAGAATGATACTGCTTGATTCAAATTCGGGGGCTCGAGGCGAAATATGGATAGGGCGACTCGATTCGCGATTCGTCCCCGGAGCTAGCACCAAGCATCTGCTTGTTCGTACGAGCGAGAGAGTTGACAGCCCGATTCATGCATGTGTTTTGGATTTTTCGATACTCCCGTTTAACAGCTCCGAGCACCATCCTTCTGCACATGGACTTTTTAGAGTTCCCGCAAGCGTGGCGCATCTTTCCCGTCTATCCGTGAGAAAAAGTGAGGAAACTGATCGGCAATGGCCCGGGCCTCCGCGACACCGCCTTGGCATTTCCCTCATGACCATGACATGACTCACCGCGGAAACCGGGAGATCTGCGCAGCTGCCGCAGAAATCTCAGAGGGTTCCCAAGGGGTCGTCGCAGGTGCCCCCGAGGTTTTCGCAGGTTTCCCTGAGTTTTTTCGCCGGAAGAGGTTGCTTCTGTATCGGAATCGACGATTCCGGCACCGGAGGCAGGTGCTGCGCCGGGTTGACCTCTCGATCAGTCGTCGATCATTATTCACCGAGATACTCAAGACGGCGATTCTCGCGACGCGTATCGACGATCAGATGGAGACACCATCGAGCATTCAAATTGCCCATCGACTGCTCTGGGGCTCAGCGTGCAGTATCCCCTCCCTCTATTGAGCTTGCTACCGTACATTCTACTTCTGTTGAATTTAATGCTTTAGGAATCGATAAATACATCCCGATTAGACCCAGGATCCCACGAAGCCCCGAAGCCCATGGACCCGGTTTTAGAACCCCCCTCGCACACATAGGCAGGAATCATCCTGCGAACGCTCAATCATTCGAACGGTTTTCGACTTGGAGCACATGTCCCACTCGACCTTCGGCAGGTCTTTTCTGATCGAGAGGACATTCGCTGCCATTCCGGGTCATAATCAGGGGAATTACTCATCATCAAAGCCGATCACTCCGATATGCGAGCCGCCCATTCCGGTATTCAGATGCGCGGTGCAGCATCAATGACGATGATAAGATATAGAGCAGTAGGTACATCCTCAGAATTATCCTCGCCGAGTCAGTCGCTTCTGTTATTTATTGCTGTCGGACGATGTTGTGTATTTTGTGGCCGCGCTGTTGCTTTGAACTAATGTTGCTTGTCGCTGTTCTCGTCGTTGGCTGACGTTGTTTTCGTTACTTATCGGTAATGGTGATGCAGTCGGGCAAGCAAGCCGTCAGTGCGTTGACCGGTCGGCATCTAGCTAGGCGGCCAGGAGGTATCGTGTTCTCCTTTTTAGCCACAAGGGCGGTTCTGTAAGCGTGCATATTTCACGAGTGGCAAGAGCTCCACCCCACAACAGGCATGACTCCCCCGACCGATGGGTCGCCTCGGCTTGAGGACGCCGCTGCCGCCGTCAGCTCTCGAAGACTCCTTCGCTCGCCTGTAGGCCCTGTTACGCCTGTGGATTACGGAGAGCGACTTAAGCTAACCTTTCGAGCAACCTTTCGGGTAGTCAGTAAGTCAGTCGGTCGGTCGGCCGCTCGGTCGCCCGCTCGCTCGCTCGCCCAGTCAGTAAGTCAGTCATTGACACCCCTCGCTAGCTAGCTAGCTCGGTCGTTCGACCGCTCGCGTGAATACGAGCTGTTCGTTCCCAATCCATTCAATCTGGCCGAGAAAAGCCCTCGACCGATTCTCTCTCTTCGTCATTATGTATTGTGATGGCTACCCCTGAGACCGCGGTGCGTCTCTTGTCGAATAGACTCGCCATATGGATTCGCAACGCTGCCGATCCCCGTGGTCACAATCAATGGACTGCGCTGGTCGCTCTACGAGACAGTGAGGATGCGCATGGTGGGTTTTGGAGGGACTCCTCTCGATCCTGGACAGGGAAAGAGGAATAAATGGTAAATGGCGACCTTGACGAGAGCTTCGGGGAAGGCGTGACTGCCGGAGGACTCTGCCCATGGTCGAGACCCCATCCGATGAGTTCAAGGAGAGGAAAATCTTGACGGGTAATTGAGAGCTCTCAATCTCCTCCCAGCGATGACGAGGGGAGCACATAACCGGCAGACCTGAAGGAAACGGGAGACAGTGGAGTCCGTGGACGAATTTCAGTCAGTCGCCAAGCATTAGAGCGACACAGATCCGTTTGAGAGAAGCTCTCCTCAAGGTATGAGCTGCTCTTGAACTATTTCGAAAGAGACGTAATGTGATATTGTCTGACTAACTAAGCGTGACTGGATAGGAGTAGCTTTCTCGTGACTGGATAGGAGTAGCTTTCTCGTGTGCTGATGACGATACGGGCGGAGCATGGTTGGAAGAATCATTCGACGAGTATAATAAGAAGTACTCCAGAGGATTTATCTATTCCGCTCCCGAGGTCACGCGACAGAATCCATCATCTCACTTCCAGGGCAGCGTTATGGAATGGAGGAATATTTTTTGCCGCGTTCCTCTCGGATGATTGAGCAGAGCCATTCCTACGCTGAATCCCGCATACGCCTCTCGGTGGGTGGGTGAGAAGCCCACGGGCGTCGGACCAGAAGAACAGCTCCCAAGGATGCCGTGAATAACTCGGTGGCTTCTGGGGTATCTCGCGTTCTCTCCGGAACGATCGTCGAACTTTCCTTGGAAATGGTTTCCTTCGAATAATTTCCCCCCCCCCAGTTCGATTTCAGCTCACCGATTCACGAGCAAGCGCGCCGAGCTCTCAGGAAAGATGGCCCTCATCGACGCTGACGATTTGTATTTTTGACTTATATTCGGCTACTGAGACATCGGCGGCGATACCGCTCAATTCCATCTCGTTCAGATTCGGAGGAGTTGCTCTGAAACGGCGTATCCGGGATCCGTCATTTCTCGGGCGAGCGTTATCGCGTGAGCGCGACTCGATGAAGCATCGCTCCTTCCTGCAGTGAGATATTCTAGAAATCACGAGAACTCTCCACGTTTCTCGATTGAGGGGACCTACGCCGATTCGCGGTTGAACAAGAGCAATGGTATCACCTCTCACGGTTCGGTGACCTGACGAAAAGCGATGCATTGCGAGCAACAGGCTACTTGTTGCAGAGATAGCAGGCTGAACCTGGGGAAAATATATCGTGGACCCTCCTTCCAAGCGCGACGAGTCCTTGCTTCCTCGAAGTTATCTATCGCCATCAGCCTCGGCTTCCCTGATCGGGAATCGGTCACGCGTTCGATTTCATTCGAGGTTTTTGGAACGGCTCGAAATTCCTAACCTCGCGCGTATCACGGGTCGTCATTGCTTTCGCCCCCTCATGGCCAGACGAATTCAATACAGAGGTCGTCTCGAGAACAGTTTCGGACGGAGCGATTGTCACAACGAGTAATCTCGTTAGACGAATGGTCTTCTCTCGTTTTCGATAGAGTCACCACTGACATTCGAAAAGGTTCTACGCGCTGTTGATGCGTACGATCGTCTGGTTTCGCTCTTCTCCAAGAATATCTATCTTTCATGATTCGCGGTGGCTGATTGTGCCAAACTGGTTGCTTGCCTCGTTCGCAGCAACAACTCGATTACATTGTTCGTCGACTACACGATAAGACTTTCTTTCCTTTTTCTGACCTCGTTTCCCGAGCTTGCATTCGTGCTGACATATCACGCCGAATGAATGCTCGGCACGAGATTCCGGGAACCCCGAGTCCGAATCTAGACGTACCGCGGACTGCTCCTGGAACGAGACCGATTTTCTCAGGTCTCCCGGTGATCCCTCCACATCCCGTGGTTGTACCCCGAGACGC